GGTAGAGGTTTTGAGTGATGAAAATTATTTTCTATTTCCATTTTCCTGTGCCTAAGTTTCCGGGTTTTACCGTGACTATTTTATATTCAGCGAGACTCTGTTGGACTTACAAACCAGAACAATGAGTTGAAGTTTCGTCTCCAGGCCATGGAACAGCAAGCACAACTAAGGGATGGTATTGACACTTTTTCCCTTAATTTCTTTGCTTCCATGCCTAGTTGAAAGGTTTTACATCTCTGCTTCATTACTTTCTGTATATATTTAGCATTTGTTAAATAGATCTTTGAAACCCTTCTTTTAGTCTTGTACTTTCACTATTGAACCATGCATCCGTCTTGCTGGCATGGCTGCAGTTTTCAAACACTAATTTTCCAATAGAAGTTCATCTCTCTTGAGAACATAATCGGGAAATATTACTCATTGTTTTACCCACTGTCGTAGAGACCACTAACAAATATTGTCTGTTTTGGCCCATTTTCACGCCCTTATAAGAAATGTTTTGTTTCCCTCTCCAACCAATATGGGATCTCACGATCCAACCCCCTTGGAATATTGTTCGGTGTCTGGGTCTGATATCATTTGTAATAGTCCAATCCCACCGCTAGCGAATATTGTCTGCTTTGACCCATTATGTAACGTCATCAGCCTCATGGTTTGAAAACCCGTCGGCTAGGTTGAGGTTTCCACACCCTTGAATGTTTCGTTTTCTCTCCGACCAATGTGGGAAGTCACATGTTCAGACACTTTCCATGCAAGTTGATACAACTCCCATAGAAATTTACCCTCGACCTTTTTGATGCCAAGGAAGGGGATAGAGTTTCTTCTCAGTACTTCCTCCCTAATTTTGTGGGCATCTCTATCATTTATCTTCAAGTTGGAGCTCCCTCCTTACCATTGTAGAAAAGGATACTAGACGTGACTCCTGTAGATTCCGTCGTAATAGAGATCTGGCTATGGTACCCATCCCTTCCAACTAGACGAACACGGAAGGGGCGGGAAGAAAAAGTGCAACCATTAGAGAGATCCTGAATTTTCAAATTGTAGTCTGCTACTCTTGGGGTTGATATGACTTCCCTAAAACTATTCTCATTCGGAATATTTGGAAGAACAGAGGCGTTGCCAACTTGGTGATCCCGTAAACCTTTACCCTTCGTTGGTTATTCTTCAGAAACAGAACTTTCTTCTATTAATTTATAAAATCCACTCGGAGTTCTAAAGATGGTTGGGCTTCGCTGGATGATTTCTTATTCCCTTAGAGAGATCCTTATTCCTTAGAAGGAATCTTTCTCTGTCAGAGAAGAGCAAGTTTTTCTTTGTGGAATCTCTCTTTAGGCAAAATCAATACTCAAAGATGGACCCCAAAGAAAGCTACTCCCACGACTTTTATCTCTGCCCAACCAGTGCTACTTTGCTTAGCAGTCCCGGTAACTTAACAAAAACTACCTTTTTTCTTTCTTCCTTAGGGCATACTTAAAGTAAGTCCTAACAAAAAGAGCCAAAATCAAAAGGACTCCAATCCAATAGAACAAAACCAATGTCATAATTACAACAAAGCCTATTTTCCTTCATTTTGTCTAATTGAAACACAGTTTCCGAACTTGGTAACTGGCTCAACTGCGCTCTAGTGGTAAAGGGAAGCACTAAAGTGATACAACACATAAGGGTTTTGGCATGCAACGGACATGCGGCCATGGACATTACGCCGTAGACAAGCATGACCGTCCTCCCTCTTAATACATTTTGTTCATCAATAAAATTGTTTTGTAAGGTACAAAAACGTTGGTAAGAAGTTTCACAATCATGGAAAGCCCTGAAACAATGCTGTCACTCCTCTGTTAAGCATATAGATTATGGTTTAGAGCTATGCGTTTCTGGAATTAATTTGTTATCAAATGTGACACAGCTCTAAACGAAGCATTAACTGCGGAGGTTCAGCGATTGAAGCTCGCTACGACTGAGATAAACGCGCAATCTCATCCCTCAAACATGGTAATGGCTCAACCTTCAATGAATCACCATGGACTCCAGCTTCAGCAGCAGCAGCAACAGCATCATGTGCAGCAGAATGGCAATGGAACCACAAAACCAGAGTCCAACCAATAATTTTTTTGTTTGGAAAATGGTTGATCTTCATCGTCTCTTTGATCATCTTTTTCATTAATAGAAAATATATTCATTATTTTAAGCTAGCTTATTATTTGCATTTGTCAAATATCCACCCCAACAGTCTTTCTTAATTTTATGCTTTATTCTCAATTGTTTAGTGAGTTTAGGCAATCAAAAGGAGAAGTGTACTTGATGATAATTTCTTTATTTATATATGATATTGGTTCAATAGTGAATTTCGTTGAATTGATTCCATGTCTATATAGTTTGATAAAATTTTGGTAATTATTCCGTACCAAATAATTCCGTTCATTTAAGATCATGTTTGAGTCGGTAAATGCAATTATGGTTGGACCTATTATTTCATAAAACTTTTCCTTGGGCTCTAATTTCCAGTTCGGGAAAGTTTGAATGTATAGTACTTAAAACACACGATCCATGCATGCATCTATGGATCCCGGCTCATATTCTTAAGAGATCATCACTAAACCAATAAGGTCAAACTCAATAATTACCATTCTATCACCCATTTAAGAAAAATATCTAGATAATTTAGAAATAAAGATTTAGATATTTTAGAAATAAAGATATCTAGTCATTCTATTACATATTTTAAGAATAAACTTGGTGTACATTGTCTATCCTCTGCTCTAAATACCTTCCACTCCATTAATTTTTTCATATCAAATAATTCTAAGCAACCCAAAGTATAGTAATTTGAGTGTACTGTAATCTCTTTTTGATTAGTCTTAATAAAGAATGTGTGTGTTTCATACAATAGAGTTGTGTTCAACGTGTCCATTTACTTCCTGGGCCTGACTACGGGCTAGCGCGCGCTCAGGCTATCACATGCCACAGAGGGGAAAAAGTATGTATAATATTATGCTATATGCATACATACTAATTATAATGGGAAATATTCCAACTATCGTGACATACAAATTGCTTGAGGTTCCATACTCTTTCAAATCATGATACACACTTACAATACCAATTATATTTTCATCGACATAACGTTTCTATGAGACATGCATACGTATACTTATGGTTAACATACATGACTTATCAGTGTAGTGTAAACATGATATCATAATACATGTGATGTGATATATGGAAGTACAAGTATCATTACCATTCATATCATAAAACATGATAATAAAAATATGAAATGCACAGGGGCCACAAGGTATGTGTCGTTCATACAGTTAGAGATGTCCACGGGTGTGTATAGGAAAACTTTTCGCATCCCATCCCTGCCCTATTTTTCATTCCTTATCCCCGTGAAATTGTCCATTTATTTTTGCAAGGATTGGAGCATAAATTACTAACGGATAATACACGAAAACAACACACAAATCATCCAACCAATCCTATAAGCATACAACGGTAAAACGACTTAAACTGAAGAAGATAATCAACCAATCCCACTCTACTTTTGAACCGGGATTTTCCACCCCATACGATGGTTCGGGTTGAGTTTATCGGATTTTTTGGATATCGGTTTTTTAATACCCCTACCGACCATTTACTTATTATCATTTAGTTATTTAAAAAAAAAAAAAATTACAATTTATCAATAAAAAAATAAATAAAAATGAAAGAAAATTTATAAAGTTTCCAAGTTTGTGTAATATATAGATAAATCTTCCATTTATGTTGAATTACAACATTTTATAAGTTGTCGTTGACTTTTATTATTTTTTGAGAGGGTATATTTGGTAAAAGTGAAAACAAAAACATTATATATATATCTAAATTTGATGGACCAATATTTATAATGAATATATTTATTTATTTATTTATCAACTTTGTTACTTACCAAACTTTTGCTTCTTAGAACAAATATGTTAAAACAATTTTATGTCTCGAATTCATATTAAGATTTAAATTTTGGATTCATAAGTTTGGTGTCTTTACGAGGGTGTATATAAATTGAGTTGGAGAAATCTTTTAAATTTGTTAGTTTTAAAATCGTGAGACTGAGATAATACGTAACAAGCCAAAACATACACTAGACAATGCCGTTATAAATCGTATCAATGCCAGTCATTGGACAATGTGTCAACGAGAACGCTAACCCTTAAGGGAGGTGGATTGTGAGATTCCACATCGGTTGGAGAGAGAGATGAACAAAACATTCTTATGGAAACTGGGAGTGGAGGGAAACGAAGCATTCTTGTGGAATTCTCTATCTAAAAAACGCGTTTTAAAAACAATGAGACTGAAGGCGATATGTAACAGACCAAAACAAACAATATCTACTAGCGGTGAGATTGGGTTGTTATAATGAGGTTGGTGAACGTGAGTAACGTTCACAACCTAATCCAACCCAACCCAACTCTTTGTTTTCGGGATTGATTGTTAGATTGTTTTTTTTTATATATATAATTATTAATTATTTTTTTTTGTAAGGATTCTTAATCATCCTGTCCACCTAATTAATCTCGAAAATTGTCTTATAATTTAATATAACCCATCAATGTATAAAATGGACGATAATTATTTTAAAACACGAAAATGTGAACAAAAATTTAGTTATATAAACTAAGTATAATATATAAAATTAGGACCAAATTTACCATTTAATCTTACCACAAAACCTAATTAAATTTAATGCCTAATTGATAAATGATAAAGTAAAAAGTAAAAATAGAGTGATAAATGTTACTAAATTTAGTGGTAAAATTTGACAATTTTTTTAAAATGAAAAATTAGAGTACGGAGCATATTAGAATTTAATGTAGTAATATTAGAGAAATTAATTGTTAAATTAATTCATGTGAAAATTTGGGGGCGATAAGAAATTCGGTCGGAATGAAATTGAAATGTAGGTTAAATTCAAATTCTTATTAAATTCACGCGTACGTGTCATGAAATCGGTGTCCCAGTAGTCGTTGTCGTCGTCGTCGTCCTCCTCCTCTGTCAGAGAAAAACTGCCGAAGCGATTTTTAGAGAGAGAGAGGAATCGCCGGCGTCCTCGCGATTCCCGCCGGCGAATTTCTATATGAAGCTTGCTGCTTCGTTCTGAACGGAAATGTTTCTCTCAATGGCGGAGAATTAAGGTTTTTTTCTTTTAGACTCTGCCGTTTTGGAGACGGAGGTGACTAACTTTCCGGCGAGGGCATTGTCGAGATTCTGGCCGGATTAGAGTGGTTACTGCCTTGGAGGTATTTCTAACAGATGCGGAATGACTATTATTGTCAATGAAGATTCATTACTTTACTTTTGAATGTCTGTAGCTCTTTCATGTTGTTTTAGTGATCGATTAGGTTTGTTCTGTGAGGTTTGACTTGTTTTAATCTATTACGGATTGTTTTGTTTATGATCGGGATTTTGGAACTCAACCGGGGTTTATCTGTGGTGGAGTTGCGTAGGTTTTTGAAGTGGTGATTTTCTTGGGCCTTATCATTCACTGAGACGTCGTTGTTTGAGGCGAAATGGGTGATACTGGAGAGGCTAACACTGATAACATGCGAAATCTTCGATGTTCATTTGGAGCATCTTCTTGTTCAACTGGAAATCTTCCTTTCTCGATGGATCAACTCAAAATTTCCCAAATGAACTGTTCACAAAGCCGCCCGCCGCACTTCCAGTCGAATTTTCTTGGCGATGATAGTAGAAGAGTTGGCTTACCTCCTAGCCCCAGCTCACCGCAGATCCCACCAATTTCACCGTATTCTCAGATCCCGATCGCGCGTCCGATGAACCAGCAACGTTATAACCTATTGCCTACTCATTCCCGATCGTTGTCTCAGCCTTCCTTTTTCTCTTTCGATTCTTTGCCTCCTTTAAGCCCGTCTTCATTTCGTGAGTCCCCAACTACATCGAATTCAGATCAGGTTTCTGCAGACACATCAATGGAGGATAGGGATAACAGTTCAAATTCTTTGTTGCCTCCCTCACCTTATATGATAGCAAATTCTTCTAAGATGGGAGATTCTTTACCTCCTCGTAAAGCACATAGGCGGTCTAGTAGTGATATCCCATTTGGATTATCTTCAATGATTCAGCCATCTCCTCCTCTCCCATTCAGTAGCTCTAGTGGATTGGAGCGATCAACGAGTAGTAAAGGGAATGCTGGCATGTTAAAGCCGGCCAGCCAGTTTCTTAAAAGAGAACCTAGTTTGGAGAAAAGCGTTGACAACAATTTAGAAGGAAAGGGTGAGAAGAAATCCGATGGGAACAGTGTGGATGACTTATTTTCTGCTTACATGAATTTGGATAATTTTGATTTGTTCCACTCTTCTGGGACCAACGGTAAGAATGTTCATGAAAATCAGGAGGATTTGGATAGCAGGGGTAGTGGAACAAAGACAAATGGGGGTGACAGCAGCGATAATGAAGCAGAAAGCAGTGTAAATGAAAGCATGCCTGGATTGAATTCGTCCGGTGAGAAGAAGGAAGGGATCAAACGGACTGCGGGGGGAGATATTGCTCGAACTACCAGACATTACCGTAGTGTCTCCATGGATAGTTTTATGGACAAGTTGCAGTTTGGTGACGAGTCCCCCAAAATGCCTCCTACACCACCTGCTGTTCGTCCCGGACAACTTTCTTCAAACAACCTAGCTGACGGTAATTCAACTCCGTTCAGCTTGGAGCTTGTTAATAGTGAGTTCAGTGGGGCTGAACTGAAGAAAATTATGGCAAATGACAAACTTGCTGAGATTGCACTAGCCGACCCCAAGCGCGTAAAGAGGTATATGTATAAATTATGTCATCAACTAGTTTACTGAAACAATTTCATCCATTGATTATTGATCTTGAGCGATGAATTTACTTCAGGATCTTGGCAAACCGTCAATCTGCTGCTCGATCAAAAGAACGAAAGATGCGGTATATATCTGAGTTGGAACACAAGGTTCAGACTCTTCAGACAGAAGCTACCACACTGTCTGCCCAGCTCACACTTCTACAGGTAGAAATCTTGAGTGTTAACAATTATTTTCTATTTCCATTTTCCTGCTGCTAAATTCTCTGTTTTCCTTAATTGCTCTGCATTCAGAGAGATTCAGTTGGACTTACAAACCAGAATAATGAACTGAAGTTTCGTCTCCAAGCCATGGAACAACAAGCACAACTACGGGATGGTATTGACACTTCTTTACTCTTTTCCTCCTATATGTCACTAGAAGAGTTGACACTTGGTCGCATCCTCTATAGTACATTCTTAGGCATTTCATGTGTAGCAGGCGTAAACATAATTTTGTCGGAACATCATAGACTTAGAAAAGACAAGAAGGAAATTATACATCATGAAAATAGTAAAGAAAAGCTATAAAGTGATACAAGGCAAGGGTTTTGTAATGACCGTGACACTAGGCATCCTGGAATTCACGGCTAACTCCTACCACACTTGCTTCCTTCATTGTACATTTTAACTTGATGCTGTTGTCAGCATCTTACTCCCCTTCTTTCTAGCTTGTAGACTGACGACTCGAGTTTTAAAAGTTAGGACTTCAATTATGGAACTCATTTATGCTTCTACTTGTATTCATCGTTCTTTATTGAATGTGACAGCTCTAAACGAAGCCTTAACCGCGGAGGTTCAGAGATTGAAACTCGCTACGACAGAGCTAAACGCACAGCCGCATCCCTCTAATGGAGTAATGCACCAACCTTCCAACAGTCACCATAGCCACCAGCTTCAGCTTCAGCAGCAGCACCATCACCAACAACAGCAAGAGATGCAGAAGCAGAATGGGAGTACAGCCACTAAACCAGAGTCCAACCAATAATAGTTCGTTGAAAGATGGATGAGGAGCTTCATTGTCTTCTTGATCACCTTGTTCATCAGCATAACTGTAAGCTATCTCCTTCTTAAACAAGAAAATGAGTGTAAGCTAGCTCATTATTATCTCTCAAATGGTATAGTCTTTTCAAAGTTGTGTATATCACGCACTTACACACTTAACTTTATGCTCTTTTTAAGTACTTAAGTTAATACCAAAAAAGAGCAAGTAATCTTTGGTTGATAGTTACTTCTAAGATATTGTAGCATTTGAAAGTTAGTTTTCTTCCCTTGGCTTATGCTTCCTGATCTCACATTACAATCTTGTTTAGTTTAGTGAACGTGTTCTTATTAGGGTGCACTCGGTTGGCGATTTGAAACGTAAGTTTGGTTTGTGATATCATCAAGCTTTAAATGATATTTAGTTGCAGTTTAACATTATTCATTATATGAAATATTTAAGATTATTAATGTGATCTTAAACGATATATGGTTGATATACGTGAAGATTTTATTTAGAAATAGCCTAAAGGGTTCCAACGACACCGCAAGTACCTTATCATGGTAACACTATTGATATGATTTATTTTATAATTATTAGAAATGATTTGATTTAAATCGTTCACGTACATACATGTGAGTAGAAATATAAATTATAATTAAAATGAGAAAAAGATGGAAATAGAAGTGATTTATAATTAGTTTTAGTATAAAAGCATCAATTTTAAAATTTATAAAAATTTAATTGAGATGGGATTTAATATTTTAAATTTATAAATACATATGGTCCATAATTAGTGTATTAATTTGTATTTATTATATTTCTATAAAAAGAGAGGGCCAGCCGATATTTGCCAAATTAATTAAAACACTACTTTTTTTAATAATTTACCCACTCATTTCCATATATTCCTGCTCCCATTAAAATCTCCCACTCCTAAAATTCCATTTTTATCCTCTGCTCCCTCTCCCCTTATGGATAATCTTGTCATTTACTGCAAAATTTTTTAAATTTTTTAAAGATTAAATTAATAAAAACACCTACCATTTGTATTTATCTGTTAAAATTTTGAAAAGTTGAATTAAACTCTCTTAATTTTTAAAATATTAAAAAATACATACCATCAATAATATAGGTAATGCATTATGAAATTTTAAAACTAGCGTTAAAAAAAAAGTTTAAAAATATTTATACTATATCGATATATTTAATATTTCTTTTAAAAGTTTATTTAATGTAAAAATATTTTTAAAATTTTTAAAAGAAATTTAAAAAATTTTGTGAATTTTTTTTTTTAAATTTGAGGGTAAAAAATGTAACTTTAAAGAATTCAAAGTCATTTTTAAAGCTTACTTCGATTTTTTTATTTTATTATTATTATTATTATTATTTTTTTTTTTTTGAAGTTTAAGGGTATTTTTGATAATTTTGTTATATTTTTTTAGTTTTCACGTTACTTATGGAAATGGGTCCCACCGGTCCGTGATAATCGGTCCAGACGAAAGCGCGTGGATTTAGGTTGCGACGTCGTTTTGCTCGTCTTCTTCCCCTCTCTAAAGTCTCTCTTCTGCCTCTTCTGAAAGGTAAGACAGAGATAGCAATGGAGATTCTGAAGGTTTGCTTCATTCTCCTCTCGACGGCGTCGTTTTTGTGGCTATCAGAATCAGTTACTCTCACGTCGGATTACTACCAGAAATCATGCCCGGAATTCCGCCAGATTATCCAACAAACAGTCACCAACAAGCAGATCACAAGCCCTTCCACCGCCGCTGGAACTCTCCGACTCCTCCTCCACGACTGTCTCCCCAACGGCTGCGACGGCTCTGTCCTCGTCTCCTCCACTCCATTCAACAAAGCTGAGCGCGACGCCGACATCAACCTCTCTCTCCCTGGCGATGCCTTCGATGTTGTCGTTCGGGCTAAGACCGCACTTGAGCTTGCATGTCCCGACACTGTCTCCTGTGCTGACATTCTTGCGGTTGCCACTCGTGACCTCGTCACCATGGTCGGTGGACCTTACTACAACGTTCTCCTCGGTCGCCGAGATGGCCGTGTCTCGGAAGCTTCGACGATTCCTAATGCTCTGCCGCTGGCTACATCGCCGATGTCTGAGATCATTGATATTTTCACATCTCGCGGGTTTACTTTGCAGGAAATGGTAGCGTTGTCTGGTGCTCATACGATTGGCTTCTCGCATTGCAAGGAATTCAGCGCTCAGATCTATAATTATAGCAAGTCGCCTCCGTATGACAGTCAGTATAACCCTAGATTTGCGCAAGGGTTGCAGAAGGCTTGTTCTGGTTTTGAAAATAATCCTACATTATCCGTTTTCAACGACATTATGACTCCCAACAAGTTCGATAACTCTTACTTCCAGATACTACCTAAGGGATTGGGGATCTTGAAGTCCGATCATGGATTGTATAACGATTGGAGGACAAGGCCGTTCGTGGAGGCGTATGCGGCGGATGAGAACAAATTCTTCAGTGATTTTGCTCGGGCGATGGAGAAGTTGAGTAATTATGAAGTTATAACAGGGAACCAAGGGGAGATTCGGCATCGATGCGATGCGATTAATTGAACTAGGAGGATTCTGTTAGTCACGATCCAATTTGGAGACAACTGCATCAGGTTGAATTCAAGATAATTTAGGTTTGGTTCTTTCTGATTATGAGCATATGAAAAATCCGTATACTTCTTCATCAATTGTGATATTTGTGCCAATATATACATGGTTAATTGTTTGGTTTGGGTTCTGGGTTGTAATCTTTGTATTCTTCTTGTGGGATTTTATACTTGTGTTGATGATGATCAGCTTCTGTATGATGTAGCCTTGTAGAAGAAGAGTGTAAGAGTTCACAGTTTACTTACTTCAAAAAGAATGTCATTCTCTTGCTTCTTTGTTTTCCAACTCTTGTCCTGTGATTTGAGACTTGATCATAGTGCTAGTTCGTAAGATTTTATTTGACCTGATTGCATTGTTTGTGATACTTAATATTCAGGTCTCAAGAGCTCTGGAAAATTTTGAATTCCATCTTGAAAGCTCTCTGTTGGTTTGATTTCTCGGAAAGAAATAGAATCAAAGACCCTTTTTCTTCTTCTGTTCTTAATATTCTTGATAATGCTGAAGAATATGCTTGAATCAATCTATTCTACCTAACAGTCATGTGAGTTTATATTCACTTGGAAATTCAAACTTGATGATATGATCAAAACCCTTTTAGATTTGGGTACTGTTCTTGGCTGTGTTCTTAACTATTCCAGGCTTTCTTCAAGCTTTTGGAATGGCTATGCCCTCATGGAAGATACTGCTAGACAATGATTGAACAGGTAAGTGAGTTTTATCTTTTTGCCCAATTTTTGCTTGGAATCTATCTTTTTTACACCTTTTATACTGCCTCAATTTTGGTGCAAGAAAGAACAGTTTAGAATTTTGAATTCTGGTAGAAAACTTTTGCTTGAAGCAAAAGGGGTTTCAGAATACTTGTTTAGCATATTGTTGAAAATCTTTTGATTACTTGTTAGACTTGTCTGCTTGGTTGTCTCTTGGTCTTTTCCTCTGGCTATAAAACCTGCTTCCAGCTCTGTTTCCATATGCATCATTTTGAGCTGGAATTCTCTGTCCTAAAAAATCATAGGTTTGGCAAGTTCATGGAGTCTCTAAATATATCATATATTTTTATTTTTTATTTGCCGGAAATGGTTTAAGGTCAAGAAGTATTGATTAGCCAGACTATTGGTAGAGACAATTCTTTTTTAATATTAAATTATAGGTAGATGATCCTCACGACTTGAACTCGATTTTTTTAAGTTCTTTAGTATTTTACATGTTCCTTATTGACTTGTTGACCACTAGACCAATCAACCGTATATGTGAGATTCGACATCAGTTGGAGAGGAACACGAAAGGAAAACGAAGCATTCCTTATAAGGGTGTGGAAACCTTTCTCTAGTAGACGCGTTTTAGAACGGTAAGGTTGACGGTGATAGGTAATAGACCAAAGTGGATAATATCTGGTTGCGGTGGACTTGACTAATATATAATTTTTATTATTGTATTATTATTTACACGTTTGGTTGTTTACTAACTAAAATTAAACTGAGTTTAACAGAAAAATCCACATAGAAAGTTGGGCTGAAAGGCAATGGTTTGACATTCTCCTCGGTTTTAAAATAACGTCAAACCAAGCTTTTAGGCTTGGTTGTTCCCCATCAACATTTGGATTTGAATTGAATGAACTTTATGTCATTGTTGAGAATAAAAGATTTTTTTTTTTTTCTTTTTTCTATGAGTTGGATAATTAAAGATTTTCTTGGTGCTGACTTTTGAGTGATAATCATATTTAATTATTGATTTGTTTTAAAAATAATTTTGATCATGATGGAGGTCCACATAGGAATAATCGATTCACTAATTTTCAGGTTAATAAGGGTTTGTTTATTCACTAACTTTTGAAGTGTCTTAATTTTTTTTTTAAATGTTAAAACTATATGAAAGTGTAGATTCAACTTAAATTGAAATTGAAAGAAGACAGAGTGATAATACAAAACAGAGAGTTCAAATGTTATACATATATATATATATATATATATATGTATGTATTTAGGTCTTTGACAATAAGATTTTATCGCTTTTACTTTTTAAGATTGTTGAATTCAATGGCATTAAATATTTTTACAATGAACTTATTTTTTCATTTCTTTACTAATTCCAATCAATGTTCTTGACCCACTCAGGAATCCCGAAAGATATGTCCTGAGCCATTTTCATAAGAGTGTCTCCAAACATTAGCATACACCATATTTGACCTAACCTAATAGAGAAGTCTCAATTTATTGGGCGAGTGTCAAACACATGGCTAGCACCTCAACTATTATCACTAAATTGTCTGACTCTACTGCATCTAGTTGTTAAAGTAACTCATAGACCAAGAGACATAAAGAAGCTTTACTATAAATTTGAACCCGAACTTACGAATAGGCATTAAGAAGTTAAACTATGACCAAGGAATCAAATGCTTTGTAATTTACTACATCTAGCTGTCAAAGTAACTCGTAAGATATCAAATCTTAAGTAGGTGCCTACCATCGTTCACCAAAACAAAGTTTCAAAGAGAGATCTCGATTCATGGAGAAATTTTGACAATGGTTTTCATATTCGGCTAATGGGTTTGTTTACGCAGCCAAATTGGTTCAATCAGTACACCCCAAATATCCATTGTCACAAGGAGATATAAGTTTGAATCATTGGCTCCATTTGTACGGTTCCAAATTAAAGAAAAAAAAAAATCTAAACCATACTTGATATGTGAACTTACTGATCCTCGGAGTATGAACTAACTAACTCATTCTATGACTTCATATATTCAAACTTGAAATTCTTAATGATAGTTGGTTGTATTCACCGATTTAATCCTACTTTTCCGACTACACCTCTAACAAAAAATGTAGATTACTTAAATCCAATAATCATAATCCAAACACCAAGAAAGATGGGAAACAAGTTATTCATTTCAATCAAGGAATCATGATCTGATAACCCTCTCGTCCATCCATCAGAACGAATTGTGTAACTCAAATACGACCACTAAGACCGAGGTTAGATACATCTCCACGACTCTTCAGTGACTATAGAGTCATCCAATGCAGAACAAAAAAGTACGAAAGAAAATAGATCGTGACCATCTACTATGTATTATTCGCTTTCAAATTCAACCGGTTCCTAAGTTTTCACGCTGACCAGAATCAGCCCATACCTCAGTGATGAGCCTTGGCTTCTGCTTTCTTGTGAGATTTAGCCTTCGCCTGCAGTGAATAATTAGGAATTGAAGTAAAAATTTAAGAACAGACATGTGAATTTAGAATTACTTCAAAAGAGAGCCACAAATAACATGAAATTTTGAAATCATAATATGATTATAAGTTGAACTGAAATTGAATAGGAATGTCATGGACTATAGATCCTCTTCCCCTTAAAACTCAAGGTTACAGATGGGCAAACCTAAGAAGCACGGAAACGGGACATGAATACCGACGTGATAGGCACAACAATACATCAGTTTCTAAGAGACTAGGACACGAACATGTTGGGGGTATGTTCTTTTTTATTATTATTTTAAGATATATGTAAAATTAACGTGAAATACTAAATATACTAAACTAAATGGCATAAAAAACATATTCTAAGTGGTGAACTTACTGTGAAAAACAGAACTGACAGCTAGCAACAAGTAGTCAATGGTGTTACTTGTTAGGGGTTCAAATTTCACGATTAAATGTTGGGCCTATTTTTAAAATTCAAAATTTTCCAAGCCATGTTCGAAATTAAAAAAAAAACAAAACAAAAAAAAGTCGTGTAAAATAGCATGTTGCACACATGTCCAAAGCATGTTTGAACGTATACGTGTACAACATGTGTCTGACACGGACACTCAGCCTAAAACAAAGTATCTATGCTTCATAATAGGCGACCTATTGACTAATCCTGTTCGTAAATAAGACAACAGCAACAGATACAAAAGATGCTACACCAAATGGATCGAAAACAAAATCCATATAGAAATTTATAAGCCCTATATGAATAGAATATAAAATGGTATATCATGAAACAATTTATTTCCGCTCCATTTTCAAATGTGCACAAGTTATGACTTGTGACTAACAATCCCACAGTTAAGTTGAAGGTTATCTACATTTAAACTTTTAAGATAGCATATAACATGTTGGGTTCTATCAAACCTCAACTTGAAATTAACTATAATTTGGATCTTCAGTTGAATAAAAATAGGGGAATAAATCATTGGTCGTCATTAAGTACATTAATGGAAATTAATAAATATGGTCCAAGACCACGCATAGTTTATTTCAAGCATTCTTACTAAGGTTCAAAAACCAAACTCGAAGTTTCAATTTCAAAAAATAGTTTCCTTCTAATATCATTTTCAATCCAACTCAACTGAACCATCAAGTTCAAAGAAATTCAACAGAACAATAAGAACAATTAATACTTTCATGGTATTAGACCAATCCATCTAGTTTAATAGGTTTATGAGCTATGTTGTAAACCATATATAGTTGCTTCAAGAAAAATGTTTAAAATTTAAATTTCAATATGATAAAATTAATGGTAATCTGTTGTGAAATAATCAGTAAACAACAAAACAAAAATATTGAAACAAAAAACACAACAATTACATCATGCATAATGGGTATCACTGAAAATCCTAAATTCTAAGGCTCATTTTAATAACTAATTGATTTTTAATATATTTTTTTAAAAAAAAATTGAGCTTGCATTTCTCTACAATGAGTTTCATATTTCTTTAAAAAACAAAACATTTGAATATTCGGAAAAATTCTAAAAATAAAAACAAGTTATTGAAAACTGTTTTTTTAGTTTCCATAACGTGGTCTGGTTTTTTTACAACATGTGTAAAAAGTAGATAACAAAACAAGGAAAAAAAACCCAAAAGTAGTAATGTGTGTATTCTTAGTTCTCAAAAACCAAAAATCAAATGGTTAACAAACGGGGCCTAACAAATCAATATTCTAGTTTGAAATAAATAAATAAATTTCACTCCATGATGACTAAATTTTGAGATACAGACACTTGAATGGAAGTGGAGGATCCACAGAAACTTAGATGCTCTTCTCTTTTTTCCGGTACTCTCCTTAGATAGTAAGGCACATACTTGGGATAAAATACAAGAAAAAGATCCAAACTCATCTTTATCATCTTCATAGTGACTTCTTCCTCACTAAGAGATTGAGACATTAAATCACCTTTTTCCATCATGCGCTTTTGTTTCTACTTGATAGGAGATTTGGGGCATCTTGAAGGAGGGGGAAGTATTCGACAAATTGTTGAAGAGAACTTATCAAACCTACCAGAGAAGGTTCTATGGCAGTTTATTCTTTCTAGAAAGTATTCCTCTTTTAATATTCATGTCAGCTAGATGGTTCTTTTTCTAACTCCCTTCACTTGATAGGAGATTTTTTCCTCCCTTCACTTTCTTACTCTACTTTCCTAATTGAAAAAAGGCTAAATTATTCAAAATGACCCTAAACTTAGAAGTTTGTTTCATTTAAAAAGTTTCGCTTCTATCCTTTAACATCGATTTCAAAACAGCCTGAACAATTTTACCATTGAGATGGAATCGACATAACAGAGCAATGTCAAACAGGCCTTTCAATATCCTGACAATTCACTTTTCAAGCTACATTGTCTTTCATTTATTAACTCACAAGCACATCAACCACGTTTTCAGTGCAGTTTTTAAAAGTCAATTTCCAAAATTCGTATCAAAAATAAAATATTTCAAGCGCATATGTGAATCAATTTAAAGGATAAAAGTAGAGACTTAGCCTTGAAAAAACAAGTATTTGACGGGTAACTGCGTAGTTTCCCAGAAATTTTGACCCAAAAAATATATATGCACTAAAAACAATTCTATATCTTGAATGCGACAACAAATTGCAGATAGCACTCGATACTGTCGGCAGGGAAGAGCAATCAGAAATGATAATATAGATCCTACAAACATTCAAGCCAGAAACGCAATCCGACTTCGATGAGCCTAAGTTTTGAAGCGGAAAAAAACAAACAATATGAAAAGAAGGAAACGGAATCAACAAACCTGAAGGTACTTGAGCTTGAGGCTTCCGTAGACAAGTCCAACAGAGAAAGCCGAAGCACGAGCAACCTGCCAAGGATCAAAACCGTTGAATTTATCATTTTCCATTATAAAATCTCAAATCACATTCCGCATATAGCATTACAACACGCGAAATTCAACCTAATCTCTAGTCGAAAATTTTCAAGGAAATCGATCGGAAACAAAAACTGAACATACGTACCAAAGCGAGGGTGCTGGTCCCAGAATAAGGCCCAGGAGGAAGCGCCATGGAAAGGACTTTCCGAAGGTAAATGGAGAAGAAGAAGAAAGTGTTGCAACAGTAGAACCAGAAGCCGATTTTGAGAATAGAGGAGCCCTAGGAATCAAAGATTAAACAAATCTCCAATTCCCTCACTGACCGTCAAGGATTTAATCCACTGCGCCGTGGTACACGTGAAATTGAATTCTTTTAAAAAAATAAAATTGCACCAACTAGTCCCTCAACTAAATACTTATTGCACTCATACCCTTAAATTAAAAATATTTATCAATCAATCCTTTTACATTTTGTATTTAATTTGATCTCCTTATTGTGCCACTAAATTATTAAAAAAAAAAAAAAAAACTATATTCATTCCTATAAGATATTTTTGAGAAGCTAAAGCATAGTTATTATTATACTTAAAGTGGACCATAATATTATTGTAGAGAGTCATATTGATTTGTCGACAAGAATCGCGAGTCAATGCTCAAACCGATTGGAAGGAAGGAAAGAAAGAATAAAAAAGCCGTCAAGAACTTCACACATTTCAACAAAAAAGAGGGAATCGAAAGCGATCAAGAAATTCACATCCACAGCAAAACAAAAGGCCGGCGAGATCCACCAATGGAGTTCTTCACCCTGTCCGCTGCCGGCGGGGGTTTCTGTCTGATCGGCGCATGGGAGGCACTCTCTTCATTGAATTCCATTTCCGATTCCGATTCAAATCCAAATCCAAATCCATCTTCCTCTCTCAACGCTGTCCGACCTCCATCTCAATCTCCGCCGTCGACTGCCACAATCGCTTCATCTTCATCATTTCCGTCGTTCATTTTCATCTTCGTTCTCTCATTGCTCGTCATATTAAACTCCCTCGTTTCATTTTTCGATGCGATTAATTCGAGCGACCGAGTCGGTTCGACCCTCCAGTTACCAGTTCTAGCCGTGGCTTCTCTTTTCTTTCTCTATTCGATTCTCGGAGTTTTGGTTAATATCAATGAATCGGTTCATCTTCCTTCAACAATTCTCAGTTTAATCGCGTTATTCGCTTTTGTGGAAGAGTTTTTGTTGTTCTACCTGCAAAGGAAAGACACCAGTGGAATCGAGAATCGGTACTTCGATCTCTTGCTTGTCCCTATTACAATTTGTGTTTTCGCTACAATTTTCGAATTGAACTCCCCCAAATTGAATTCCCCCAAAATTGTTCGTGGGGTTGGGTTGATTCTGCAGGGGACATGGTTTTTACAAATGGGGTTGTCTTTTTTCACCAATTTGATAACTGATGGGTGCTCTTTGCACAAAAAGAGCAGGGGAAATTACACTATAAAATGCAAGGGACACCCTGAATATCACAGAGCCAGAGCAATCGCTACACTTCAGTTCAATTGCCATCTTGCTCTTCTAGTGACATTGGTGGTTGGTGTATATTCAATCATCAATTACAGAAATGGAGGCACCGGAAATTTTTTGCAGTACCGGCCGATCGGGGTGGAGATGCTGCCATTTGAGTTTCAGGGCCAATTCACTTTGGATTCTGATGATGATCTAAGTGAAGAAAGCAATTTGGGGAAGAGGAAACAAGCAGTGGTCGATCTGGGCGTGAATGGTCATGATGTTCATCAATGAGGTAAATTCCATTGGACATTTTGGTTTATAATTGTTTGAGTATGATTAGTTTAGACTGCAAATGTTGTGATTAACTTGTATCAAATGGTTGAGATGCCTCTCTGTGGTGCTGATTTAGTTTTTGTTTTATCATGATCAAGAAATAGAAACAAGTTTTGCTAATCTTGTGTTCATTTCTATAGATCTAAATGCATACTGAAAGTCAAGCTTTGTGTCATTTCTTGTTCTATTCAATGCTTTAAAAGGCTTAGACTCGAGATTTTTCGCATCGAAGTTTATGTGCCCTTACGAGAATATGTTGAGTTTTGAAGTCTTTATGCTCATGAAATGTTAGAGAATCGTATTAATTTGTTGTTTGTTCTTATTGAATATGAAAGTTCATGTTTGTTATGTTAATAGTACGATCATTGGCTGTGGCCTTTGTTAAACGACGTCTTAGTATTTGTTTGATAATTGATAGCAATGCTTTTTTCCCCATTTCTTTTTTACTTTTGTATGATCAATGATCGTTAGGTAAAGTAATACCTGATTATATATTCTTATTCGGATTGAGGCTCATGCGTCGTATAGTCATACTATCTCGAAGATTATGTCTTGGATCGTGAGGAAAAAGAACGTCATGGTTGCTTTTTAGCCTTTTATTTCAGATTGCTTTTGGGTTCATTCTGATAATTCGAGTGCTTTCTTTTAGTTCCGGAAACAGTGGATTATAGGACTCTTCTACCTGGAAAACGTAGGACTAGGAGATGAGAACATGGTTATTGGAATCCTCTATGTGAGATCCCACGTCAATTGGAGAGGAGAATGAAGTATTGTTTTATAAGGGTGTGGAAACCTCTGCCTACCAGACACGTTTTAAAACCTTGTGGGAAAGTTCGGAAGGGAAAGCATAAAGATGACAGTATCTGCTAGCGGTAAGCTTGGCCTATTCCAAATGGTATTAGAGCCAAGCATTAGGCGGTGTGCCAGCGAGGACGCTGGCCCCCAAGGGGAGTGGATTATGAGATCCCATATTGGTTGGAGAGGAGAACGAAGCATTATTTATAAGGGCAATATCTGCTAGTGGTAGTGGTTAGCTATCTTATAAGTTCTCTATAGAGATTGAAAGCATTCTTTCAACTGTTGAAATGCCTACCCCACATTAGCATCACAACTACCGGTTAAGTAGCAAGTTGATATAAGTTTAAGAAGTTATACCAACCCGAGCATAACTCTATTGGTTAAAACATTATACTCTTTATCAAAAGGTGAGCTAGGTTCGAAGTTTGAAACAGTGAACAGTGAACAGAAAAACTATCACTCCAAATTCCATTCAAACTCATAAAGTTTGATTCAAATTCAATATTGTGTTTCTTCTTCACTGATCCTGTTTCTGCAACATTTACACCAAATCACATACAATACAAAGCTCAACCCACTGCAAAATGCTAACAACCAATAATACTTGTCCAACCTAGCTTTGCTCATGTCATCCGAAAACCAGCTCAGGCTCCCATCCGAACTTGTTAATAACTCCACGATTGATATCATTATCGCACTGCAAAAGCTCCCGACACCGAACACGCTGTTGTACAGCGCAAATGCTGTCGTTCTCATGCTCACGGGAACCTCTGAGTAGAAGAACTCTTGCATCCCTACCACTGTAAAGATGTCTGAAACTCCTAATATTATGTACTGAGGCAACAGCCAGAAGATACTAAGTGGCACATACGACAATGACGATGTGGTTTTAGTCATCGTCAACCTCTTGGCTTCGACGAGGGCAGCGAGGATCATGGCAATGGTAGAGAGGAACATGCCAATGCCCATCCTCTGCATGACAGTGATGCCCTTTTCAGTGCGGGTGAAGAGGCGGGTGATCGGGATCAAAATGTTGTCGTACAACGGCATGAGGAGGATTATGGAGATGGTGATGGAGCTCTGGAGGGTGGCGGGCGGGATCTTGAAGTTGGCGCTGACGTTCCGCTCCATTGTCATGCCTTGCTTGGTGAAGAAGGTAGCTGGTTGTTGGAATATTACAGCGAACATTAGAAGCAATGTCCAAATTGGTAGCAGCCGCAAAATCAGCTTCACCTTGTCGGCCACACATATTCTTTCTTTTGGAATCATGTCGCTGTTTTCTTCCATGGATTTCATGGTTCCTGAGCTTTCATGGCAGAGTGGCTTGCTCTCTTGCTGCAGCCTGCAAAATGTCATATAATCAGCTTCATATTCATCCTTTAGCTCACTCATCAAGTTCTTCCAGGGTTCGTTTTCAAAGATTTTTTACACAAAATTAAGGGCGGGTTAAACCGAAAGAAAAAATAGACAAAAATGTATAGGTAAGTGGAGGGTTTTTTTTTTTTTCTTTGGTCGATCTACTCGCCCTTTTTGATCCCGGTCATCTTTTCTAATGCTATGTCAAATCATCACATGTTGATTAATCAACACATACCACATCAACAATTAAGAAACTGTTTGTGAGATCTCACATTGGTTGGGGAGGAAAAAGAAACATTATTTATAAGGGTGTGAAAACCTCTCCCTAGAAGATGCGTTTTAAAAACCTTGAGGGAAAACCCGTAAGGAAAAATTCAAAGAGGATAATATCGGTTAGCAGTGAATTTGAACTGTTACCGTTGGTATCAGAGCTATAGGTTATAGATTCTGTAGACTAGCCTAGGCTTGACATGTTCCAATGACTCACATCGATTGGGGAACAAGTGTTAGCGAGGACGCTGGGTCCTGAATGGGGTAGATTAGGAGATCTCATATCGGTTAGGGAGGAGAACGAAACATTCTTTATAAGGGTATAGAAACTTTTCTCTAGAAGATGTGTTTTAAAAACCTTGAAAGAAAGTCCGATAGTGAAAGTCCAAATAGGACAATATCTACTAGCAGTATGCCCAGTTACATGGTTGCTAACGCCACAAAAACTAAAAGTTAAAAACTCGTTTGATAATTTGCTCACAATTTTTCGAATAAGTTTTTCACCTTCCTTACAAACACATTTGCAATTTAACACTAGTTTTCTAGTCAAAATTTTAAAAAGATGGGCAATAAAATTTTAAAAAAATAACAAAGAGAGATATAGAGATGTTCTTACTCAAACTCAACATCATCACGAGGCTTGTTCTTAGACAAGGCAACAACATTTGTAGCACAAATGAGCCTTGAAGCTGTGGCTTTGACAAGCTCCACCACCTTGATCACAAGCCCTCTCTTCTCAACCCCATCCTCTTCCTCTACCTTATACCGATAAATCTTAGAGCCACAAGCAAAAACCGCCACAGAACAAACCATGGCGCCCATGGGGATGGCGAACCCAATCACCCAACCTAACGTGTCTTGAATGTAGGACATGACCGTCACACCAAGGAGGCAGCCACTGCACACTCCAAAGTACCACCATTGGAAGAACAAGCTCTTCTTCTTCTTCTTCGGCTTCTGCTCGGAGGAGGACAGTGTTTTGGCCGTGTCAGTCGGGAGTTCGACAACATCGTGGTCGAGCTGGTCTGCGCCAAAGGCTTGGAGAGATGGGTTGTATCCGCCTTGGCCGAGCGAGATGAGGTAGAGAGACGAGAATAGGAAAGAGGAGGTTGTGTTTGTTGGTGACCACGATTGCGCTAATGTTGTTGATGTTAAAGCAACTAATCCCTGCATAAAATTTGATCCATCATATTATCAATTTAGGGTTTAAATTATACAAAACATGTTACCCGATCAAGAAGGTTCATAGGTTCAAATCTCCACTCCCGACATAATATTAAACTCAAAATAATAATAATAATAATAAATCTATATGGCCAAAATTAAAGGTTGGGAGAAAAAGGCAAAGCACTTATTCTTATGAAAAGAGAAAGTTAATATAATTGGACAAAATTGTCTAAAGATTGCATCCCCTATTCTAAGTCATCACAATAATAACAAAAGTAGAACCTGAATTTTTATTTTATTTTTATTTTTATTTTTATTTTTATTTTTATTTTAGAAGTTAAAAACTAGAAGCAAAATTGTGGAAGGTCCCAATAAAGTTCTTATGTATCATATTCAACGTTTTATTTCTTAAAACTTAATTTAAATTTTCAACCAAATTTAAAGAAAAATATGGGTTTTTAAAGTATATGGATAATTAAGTAATATCAATGGTAAAACTCGAACAAATCCGACGAGAGCTAAGAGTCATCCTTCGTACTCCATGGTACATAGTAGGAATGGAGGAGTGTTCGAAAACTCTGATGTCTCAATAAGAGTTATCATTAATGTTTTAATCCGACCCAATTCAATTCAGGAACACCCTTAAACCAACTTAACTCATTTAATTCAAATTTTAACGTTTAAAGAAGACTATATAAGATTTTCTCATCAATTTTAATTCAATTTGTTAAGATATTTCTAGTCCATTTCAGTTGGTTAAGATATTAATAACGTTTCCAGAAGAGAAAGGTAAGTGATGGTACCATGACGTAAAGAAAAGCAGAGGCTAAAACGGTGGAATAACGATCCCAATAAGAATCAGCGAGCGGCGCCACCAGCAGCGGCAGCATGGAAGTGAAGCCGCACCAGGTGTTTACCGTTTTTGCCGCCGCCGAGTTCCCCATCTTCATCACGTCTGTTAAATACGTCACCATGTTCGACGCCACCCCCTTGAACACGAACCTTTCCATCCCCGACACCACTGCGCCGCCAACCTCCGTCATAACCTTAATAACACTTCAAAAAGAAAAAAAAAAAAAAAATCTTTTAAAATACCTATGAGAAGAATACACGCTCCACTCAGCCTTGGTCTCCGCCGCAGCCCTCCTCCTCCTCCTCCCGACATGGCGGCGCACAGCTTGAGCTCGAGCTCGGAAGTTGCAGAGAATTGGCGGTGGAAAAAAACAGAGACAGAGATAGGAAAGAAGGCTATGAAAACACTCACAACTCCAACCTATAAATCCCCATCTTTTTTTACCCAAAAATAAATCTTTTTTTTTTAATGGTTAAAAACTTTATTAACCGTTTAAATTTCTTATTTATGTTTATAAATTTTAAAAATTGTTTAAAATATTTAAAAATTTATTTATTTAAAAAGATTAATATGAAAGTTACTCTAGAGATTAAATTGATATAATATAAATTTATTTTTAACAAAATATTTTTTATTAATTGCATAGTGATAAGAGAAAGAAAAACGATATGCAAAAATAAGTAAATAAATAAATATGGAAATATTGTTCTAATAAGATAAAGATAAGATCATATCATCTCTCTTTGTTTCATGCATATATATATATATACACGTCATATTCAAATTTCTTGACTTTGATTATCAGGATTCATCACCACGTGCCATGTCACCTGCCACGTGGACCCTTTGCAGTGGGTTGTTCCTTGCTTTGTCACCAACTCTAGATGAATCTACAGTTCCCAATGCCTATTTTGATCAATTATTAGTAGAAAGTCCAGGTAAGAATTAATGTGAATTAGAGCAATTTTTTTTTATTATTAATTTAAGTATTTTTTATTTTTATCTTTTTATTTTATTGATTTAAAAAGAATTACTTTTATTTTTCGTACTATTTTGATAGAAATTGAGAGAAAAATAATTTTATTTCAATGATTTGGACTTAATTTTAAGTTATTCTTAAATTTTTAAAAAAATTTAAAAAATATATAGATATATATATATATTTTTTTTTTTGGTATTTAAAAATATTCTTGAATTTTTAAAGTTTAGTTAATACAAAAAGTTTAAAAAATATGTTTGAAATTTTAAAATTAATATTAACACTATTTACCTTTATAATAAAAAGTTCAAATTTTTTTTTTTTTTTTTTTACGAAAATCCTCATCAATGTCTCCTAGATTATGTCCAAATTTTTAATATTATGAATAATTTTTAATTTTTTTTAAAGTTTAAAATGTGTTTTTTAAGTTATTTTAAAATAAAATTACGTATATTAATAAAGATTTTGCAAACTCAAAGATATTTTTGAAATTACAACCGCTTTTTTTTAAAATTATACACATATTTCGACTATACATCAAATAATTAAAAAGAGATAGTCACATTGAATAATTTTTTTTTTTCATGGTAACGAAAATTAAGCGAATAGTCCGATGAGTTCAAGATATTGAATGATTTTTTTCATGATACACAGTGATTCGATAAAAGTTCATCAAATGGTCATATGGGTTCAGGATATTGTTCTAAACAAACAAATTTTTTCACCACGATTACTACAAAACGACGTCAATTCCCACCAAACCCTCCAATTTTTACCTAAAAAGTGATGGATTAGAAATGAAGATTACTTGTAATGTTTTTGGGCACACGAGAAACTCAAGCAGCCACACACAATGCACACATAAAAAACACAAGGCTTTTTTAATGCAAAAGCAAGAGATTTAAAGAGAGAGGTGGTTTAATGAGATGGAATTCACTTTCATTTTTTTGATGGGTGCTTCCACCAATGAAACCTCTAATGGAAAATCTTTATGAGAAAAAGGATTAAAGATAAAAAAAAAAATTATTAATCGACACGTGTATTTCGTTCGTGGAAAAGTTTAGATTAAAAACTATCTTATAAGTCTATGAAATTTGAACTTTGAGTCTAACACATCGTTAATTAAAATAAAGTCTTCGTCACAATCGCATTTTGATGGCATCGGACTTGCGATTATGCGGTACTCACTTCCCAGCAACAAGTAAGTTTAGTCTATTCGTTCTTACGTCGCCTACGGCCAAACGGCGTACGCACGAGCCTCTTGCCCTAGTTGAAGAAGAAACTTTTAGAGAGAGGGGTAGAGAGATTTGGAAAGAGGGTTTTGAAAGCAAAATTTGAGAAATTGAAATTGGTGTTATATAGGAATGTAAGCAAAAGCCAACAACAATGACTTACGTCAAGCAATACGTGGAGTAACTCTTGATATAGCAGTAAAGGCAAGACGAGTAAGCTGAATAACTCATCAAGTTCCCATTGAAATAGGATCCACACAAGGAAAAGTACTTGTAATTCGTTGGTTAATAGGGGCATCCCAAAAACGTCCGGGTTGAAATATGGCTTTAAAATTAAGTTTCGAATTAGCGGATGCTACCAAAGGAAGTGGCGAGCCCAAAAACGTCCGGGTTGAAATATGGCTTTAAAATTAAGTTTCGAATTAGCGGATGCTACCAAAGGAAGTGGCGGTGTTATGTAAAAAGAGACTCAAAGAATAGCAGAGGCAAATAGAGCTTTTGTTCCTAAATAAATATGAATATAAAAATTTAGATATATATTAAATACCGAGTAGACCTTGGGCGGGCACCCCTCCCCGATGTGCAATGGAGGCCACCAACCCAGGTAATGAGCCTTCTTGATCGCTCATTTACCCCATCCAGGTAAGTAAATGATTCGGAACTCCTCCAATTCTATTTATGCACGGGTCCGAGCATCTCATCTTTCATCCTCTTCGATGTGGGACAAAATTTGAAATAATTTGCTTTACCTTTTGGAAACTTTCACTTACCGAGGTCGTTAGATACTAGATAGCTAAAACCCGACTTGTAAAGGTATTCTAAGTAGGAATGTTCATGAGTTAAGTCTCGAGATATGTTTTAAACTCAATTCAATTATTTGGGTTGTATACTCTTTTAAGTTAACAAATCTTATTAAATAATGAATCCAACCTAACTCAATCATAGATTTTATATGTTAGGTTTACGATCTTATTAAATAATGAACCTAACCAAACTCAATCCTGGATTCTCTAGGGGAAGTTAGTTCGAGTTATTTATATTATTTATCCAAACATGTTAGTTTGTAAAATATTTATTTATTTATAAATATTTAATTAAAATTTATAACTCAATTGAAAAATTATTTAAAAGAGTAGTGAGAGAATAAATAAGAAAAAAAATTGATTATGTAATTAAATAAAAGTAAAATAAATAAATAAATATATATATATATATATATATATATATAAAAGCGTTTTTTTAAAATTCAACTCAATTTACATTTATTTAAACTCAATTTACAAAATTTTTATTTATTTGAAGTGATAAGTTTATAACTCAACACAAATACTCTAAAACTTAAATATTTGTTAATTAACGAATTATTTTTAATAATTATAAATTAATTCATATTAATAATATTACCGTTATTAATTTAACATTATTTTCCAAAAATTAAACCACTAATTACGAGATTTTATAACATAAATAATCTCTCCTTTCCCTTTACAGTGAAACATATATGTTAGAGGAAGTCCAAACATGTCTCGTAATAACCGACATTTTAAAGAACTTTCAAATATTTTAGCAGCAGATTTTTCATATAAATTAAAAAAACGGTCTATTTTGATTACTACCACAATCTTTCTTAATAATTTTGTATACATTGATGTTTTTTTTTTTATGTTCTTAATATTCACTATTATCATAATAGTAATAAAAAAATCACCTTTGAAATGCATTTTTTAATGTATTTAATGAATTATTTTAGTCACATCTAAATCACAAATTTTGTGGTGACATTTTCATTTTAATTTTGATTAATTCTTATTTAAGCGATTTAAAAATTGTTAGTCACTATTTCATGTTCTACTATATGGTACTTCAATATAATTATTAGTAATTAAAAATTTTGTTATCATCAAAATATTAATTAATTAATTTAAGCTTCAGATGCCACTATCCAAATCGGATATATATAGTTATATAGTTAATGAATAAAAATTGATTAATTAAATTAAAATTTTAGTTTTAATTAATATCTAATTATTTGATTTTAATAGTTAAATTAATATTTAAGTGAATAATTATATTAAATATTAAAATAAAAATAAAAATATATATTCAATTGAAATTAGTTTAATATATGTTATATAGTCAAAGGAGAAAAAAAACTTTTCAGCTTTGTTGACCTGATTTGACCTGACCACTGTTTGGGAGAAATAAGGTTGAAGTAACTGACATTGGCGGGCTGACTCTAATCTCAATTTTCTAAATGGATTAAATTTAGAAATGTAAATGCAAAATTAGTAGAGCTTACTATTGGAACTCGTGTAAGTTTGGTTGGAAGAATTGATTGATACAGGAATAACACTTAACTTGTAACTTATTTACATGTTATTATTTATGATATGATATTCTAATGAATTGTTGTGTACGTGCTCCTTTCTTTTCTATAGATTTTAGACCGTGTGAACATGAGCTAACCCATAGCTAGGTTTAAGGGTAAGCATATGAGCTATTGTATGAACCTTGTGTAGATAAATACTATACATCAAAAAAGAAGTATAACTCACTCAACTCAACTGTTATAAAATATCATGTGGTTGCATATCTCGACCGAACGGGTGGTTTAAATAAAATAGTTTGAGAGACTTTTCTTACAAGTTTCACCTTCGGCCGGCGTCATTATAGGGATCTGAAAATCGAACTGGTAGGTCGGAATCCATGGCCGATCACCATCACCACCATCAGAGGCCTCACCGTCTCTCGATTCCGCCGCGCGCCGGTGAAGTATCTACCGCCGCCTCTCGTCCTTCTTTCCCTCTCTTCCCCTATTCTTCTTTAACCCCTACGCCCACTCCCTCCAAGAGCCGCCTCTATCCGAAATCCTCCAGCAAAAGCTCAATTTCATTTCTGTTTTTTCTTCTCTTTTCGCTTCGATCACTCTATTCACTCCTCCCATTCCTCCGCTCGTCCCCTTCTTTCTCTCTCTTCCCCTTTTCTTTCTTGGTTTCTCTCTTGTCCTTGCTTCTTACTCTCTTTTTCTCTCTTTTTACCAATTCTTCTTCCACTTCCAACTTCCAATTTCAAATTTCCAGGCAGAATCGAGGAATTTTCTCTTTGTCTTCGATTTCGCACTCGCAGCTCAAGACTCTGGTTGCTAAGTCAATTCTGCTTGCCATCGTCTTTCTTCTTCGATTTCAAGCGCTGTTGTACTGTGGAACAGCGGCGATGATTCTTGCTGAACTGATCGGGAACGTGGCGGCTCGATTCATGGTCGAAGGACGGAATCAGATTACTATGAATGATCGGTTTCGAAGTCGATCCTCTGAGGTTCGTGGATTTTTGTCCTTGTTTTTTGGCTTGTTTCTGTTGTCGATCAGTTGGGACCGAATTGATTGCTTCCCATTTGCAACTTCGTTCATTGATAAATATGGATTTTCTGTTGTTCCAAGAGAGAATTGCATGACAATTTGGCCAATGTTGCTTCCATTTCTTTCTGGATTTTTGGGTTATTATGAGCGGATTTCGATGAATTGGGGAACTATCAGGCAATTAGGTCAGAAAAGAGTTAGATTGATTTCACTGTTCTTGACGACGGTTATCCTTTTTGTGCCTGCTGTAATTAGTATGTTCATGTTTGAAGCGGAGGGGAAGAGTGTTTCCTTTGGAAATCTGGCATGGCCTCTTGCAAACACTGTTGTTTTTGGGGTGCTTTTGAATGAAAATTATAGTGATGATAAATTAGTCAGTTCAAAAGATTTTAGGACTGAATTTCTAGTCACTTTTGTTTGTACTGTTATACTGGAGTTGCTGTATTTTCCTGAGCTCTCCCTCTGGGGATTGTTGTTCTGTGGATTACTACTGTATGTGGCGGTACGAGATTTGGATCCTGTTTACCTGAACTATCTCGAACTTGGGGTCGAGCCATCTGCTTCGATTACGACAATGGTTATGAAACCTATTCATCACATTCTTAGCGAGCGGAAATCTCGTAAAATTGCTCTTTTCCTCTTGATCAACACTGGCTATATGGTTGTTGAATTTGTTGCTGGTTTTATGAGCAATAGTCTTGGGCTGATATCAGATGCTTGCCATATGTTGTTTGATTGTGCTGCTTTGGCTATTGGACTGTATGCTTCGTATATTTCGCGTTTGCCTGCGAACAATCGATTCAACTATGGACGAGGGAGATTTGAGATTCTTTCTGGATATGCTAATGCTGTTTTCCTGATTTTGGTCGGGGCGCTCATTGTATTGGAATCATTCGAGCGGATTTTGGACCCACAGGAGATATCTACTACCAGCTTATTGACTGTTTCCATTGGAGGACTGGTTGTGAATATAGTAGGTTTGATATTCTTTCATGAAGAGCATCATCATGCCCATGGTGGATTAGGATCATGCTCGCATTCACATTCTCATATGAACTCGCACTCGTGCGCAGATTCTCACCGTCATGACAAGCATGAACATGATAGCTGTAGGAAGCATGAGAATCAGATCTCTGTTACCGAGGAATGTCGTGAAAGTTCAGTTACTGTCCATCATGAACACAGTCATGTCGAAGTTTGTAGCGAAAGTCACCTCAGTAACCACCATGATTGTCATCAAGATCACAACCATACGAACCATCATGATCTTGATCATGTTCATCACCACGAACATTCTCACCATCATCATGAACATGACCAACACAGCCATCTTTCTCAGGTCGAAACCAATATGCCGAAGATCGTTTCTCATGGTGTTTCAGAAAGTTCACATAGACAGCCTGCTGAGATGAAGGTACATCAGAAGAAGCACCACCATCACCACATTGACCACAACATGGAAGGGATATTTTTACATGTATTGGCCGACACCATGGGAAGCGTCGGCGTCGTTATATCAACCCTTTTGATCGAATACAAGGGATGGGTAGTTGCCGATCCAGCTTGTTCCATATTTATTTCTATAATGATCATTGCTTCAGTTATTCCATTACTCAGAAACTCTGCTGAAATCTTGCTTCAACGAGTTCCTAGGGCGCACGAGCAGGATCTAAAAGAGGCTGTGAATGAAATTATGAAGATACAAGGAGTCCAATATGTTCAGAACCTGCACGTTTGGAGTTTCACTAACACCGACGTTGTGGGAACGCTACAGCTTCATGTTTCAACCGAAACTGACAAGATTTCTACAAAGGCAAAGGTCGAACAGATACTGCATGATGCTGGAATCAATGACTTGACATTGCAACTGGAGTATGATCCGCAAGTATCTTGATGAGCTTCCTTTCGACATTGTTTTCGTCGTCATCTCGTGTGATTATTGGACGATCTGGTTGTTCTTGATACTCATAATCACAATGCCAGCTGATGGACTTATACCGACACGTACAAAGTCGGAGTAAGTTATCCATTCCTCTTATAGCTCTGAAAATGAAATGTGAAGAGCCTGAATTGGTTCGATCTTGTCAAGCTCAAAGAGGAGCTATGGTTCATGTTGGGCAGAACCAGAGAGTGATGGCTCTTTGTTGGATCCCTGTTCTACACTCTTATACTGACTCAAATGGTAGATTAGTTTCAATGTATTTTGCAGGATGTGCAGGAAGAACCCGAAATACTCGTAATTATCTTTCGATGAATCAAGCCAATGAGTAGCTCAAAGGTTTGAATCTCTTCATATTCACGTGTTAAAAGTTCAAAATAATGATAGGAAATGAACTTTCAATGTATGATATTTAAGTCTTTATTTCTTGAAAAAAAAAAAGAAAAAAGAAAATTCAGTAAATATATAGTTAAATTAATAACTTTTCTTTTGCATTTTTTAAAAATATTTGTAAAAAGTAGGTAACAAAACAATATACTTATGTGAGAAGTAGTTAACGAAGAGCTGACCAATTATTTATTATATCGTGCTAAATCAACCAAAATGTATTTAATGGTAATCAAATTTAATAATAATAATAAAAAAATAACAATGGAGACTAAAATGTTTATTAAGTTTAATCTCTCACACCACAATTATTGAAATTATTTTTAAAAAAATTCAAGAAAAAAATAAATATGATAATATCTTCACGATTTAATGTATTATACAGCGAGGATCAAAATTTTGAATTCATATTATACTTGTTGAACCAAAAAAATAATGATAAATTTGAAAGTTTCGATGTATAAAAGTCTTTACGTTTCAAGTAAGTCAAGTTTAAAATTCAATTCTTAAATTTTAAAGATATTTAATTAAACTTTTAAAATTTATTAGATATAAAATTTTAATATTTAACCTTTTAAATATGAAGAGCTAAATATACAAAATAGATACAAAATTGTTAATTTTTGTTTAAAAAAAATTAAATTATAAATTTAATTCTTTCTGTTTAAATTTTAAAAAATGTATAATAGATATTTTTTAAACTAATAAAAATATTCCTCAATTCTGCATTTTATAAATAAAATAGCTCTAGTTTAAATAGCTCTAGGAGTTTCTAATAATACCTTCAAATTAATATATATATATATATATATATATATATATATATATATATATATATTATTGATTTAAGAAAAAATTTTAAAAAAAATACTATTCAATTTTTAAGAGGATTTAGAAAAAATATTATTTTTTAAAAAAATTTAAAATACTTTTTAATTTTTTTTTTAACAAAATTAAATCATGCCTACCCTTAAAATTTAATGGGTATTTGTTAAATATAGTACTAAGATTAAAAATATTTTAAAACAAGATTATTAATGAAACATTATAAAATTTGTATTTTTTGAAATGCTTTTAAAAGTTTAAGGATATTATTTTAAATAACTTTGTTTTGACTTTTTTTTAGTTCAAAAATATTATTAAAACTTTGGACGTTGGTACAAAGTACAAACTTTAGAGATATTTATATTATTTAACTTAAAAAAAATATTTAATAAGTATTTGGATTTTTTTTTTATTATTATTAGTCTATTAAGTGTTTTAGATATTAATATTTTTAAAATATCAAAATTTAAAATTTAAATTTTATGTTTAGTGTATTAATAAAAATTTTAAAAAATATATCTTAAAAAAATAAATTAGTTTATAAAATCTTTATATATATTTGTTGAATATAATAGGGGACGACGGTAGCGTTGCTTGGATTTCAGATCTGTTTCTCTACAAACTAACATTTAAAAAAGTGAAAGAAGATTGGGATTTGGAACGTCACTTCACTTTCCTTCTTCCCTACACCAAGATCAAATCCACCATTTACGAGCTCTTTTTTCAATCAATTTGCACTAAATGCGGAGCTTCAATCACTAACCTAAAACCTGCAGATTTGGAGCACAGGATCTAGGGTTTTTTTTTTTTTTTTTTTTTTTTTCTTTTTTCTCTCTCACTATGGAGAGCTCGGAGAAAGTGGTTGCTGTTATCATGGTCGGCGGTCCAACTAAAGGTACGAACGGAATTTCGCTTTTCCGATTTGTTTTCTTGTGATTCGAAAAAGTTCTCTTCTGTTTGACTACTTGATTTTATTGTGTGTGTGTTTTCCTTCAGGTACTAGATTTCGGCCTCTTTCATTCAATACTCCGAAGCCTCTCTTCCCTCTGGCTGGTCAACCGATGGTTCATCATCCTATCTCTGCTTGCAAACGGGTTAGATTTTCGCCTGATTGAAAGTGAAACAGTTGTGGTGTTAGTTTTCTGCTGAATCTTAATTCTTGCTTAGTCCGGATGTGAACTTACATGATGAACATTGAATTGTGGAGTGTTTGTAGATACCGAATTTAGCTCAAATTTTTCTTATTGGATTTTATGAGGAGAGGGAATTTGCTCTTTACGTTTCTTCATTGTCCAATGAGTTGAGACTGCCAGTGAGGTGACTGCTGCTAATCCAATGAACTCGAGTTAGTTATCGCTCGTAATTGTATCGTTCTGAGGTGGTAGAGCTTGTTTGATTGTGTTTGGCCTTAGGTACTTGAAGGAGGATAAACCACATGGCTCGGCAGGAGGAATTTATTACTTCAGAGATATTATCTTGGAAGACAGCCCGGTTTGTAATCTTTGCTCTGTCTGTTACTCATGTCCTGTCCTGTTGTATGAAGTTGTATGGAGTTGTAGGACCGTCTCAGCGCTTCTCAGTCTGCGAGGAATGAACTTCTTTGTGTATAATTCTTAGCTAAACTACTAAGTTTGATCTTTAAGATCTTAGATTATGTATTTAGTTCCTGTAATTTTTCTAAAATCTAATATGTAACTTTCAATTTTGTGTCTAACAAGTTCCTACTATTAGTTTATGTGACGTTTACAAAGTTCGATCCTGTGGTGATATGTCAAACATAATCTTTATCATGAAAATTTAGGAAATCGTAGCCATCATAGGTTCGCCTAATGGTCATAAGGGCCTTAATAAGAGGGAATGAGTTGAGTTTATGGTGGCCTTCTATCTATGATTTAATATCCTACACAAATCAACTAAATATTTAGAAACTTATTAGAAAATTTCTAAATAACATAAACTAAATAGACGCAACCAATTCACGGTATAGACGCATTTGACCTCCCCTCTATGCTCTATGTTAATGATTATGATTCCTCTGGCATTATGACAGTTTCTACTGCGATTTAAGTTCTCACGTGTTTGGTTATGTTTTGCAGTCATACATTTTTCTATTAAATTGTGATGTTTGCTGCAATTTTCCGCTTCCAGACATGCTTGGTGAGTTTCATAACTTGTAATCTTTGTAGGAACCAATTTTTTCTCCTCTGCTGTTTACTTGAGTATTCATAGTAAAGTGGTATTCTTATTTTCTACTCTACAGAGGCACATAAGAGATACGGTGGGATGGGAACTATATTAGTAAACAAGGTTGGTACATGATTTATGGCTTTCAAAAGAACATGTTATGAAGCTAAAAAGAAACACATGCTGTAACATTATATTTATTTTAGTGCAGTGAATGTTGGATTTATGCTCGAATTTGACTCCCCGTACAGGTTTCTGCCGAATCTGCTAATCAGTTTGGTGCACTGGTTGCTGATCCGGTCACAAATGAGCTGTTGCATTACACAGAGAAACCTGAGACTTTTGTATGAGATGCTGCGTTTTTTTTTTTTTTTTTTTTTTTTAAGTTTATCAAACCTAATCAGTTGTCCAATTCTTCAATACCTATGTTCTTAAAGACTGATTTTTCATTAATTGCAGGTGAGTGATTTAATAAACTGTGGTGTATATGTATTTACCTCGGAAATTTTTGGTGTCATTCAAGATGTCTCGATTCATCGGGAAGGCAGAGGTTGTAGCAGTGTATAACTGATGCCATACTTTTTTAACTTTATTTTAACTCTTGTAGTCATTTACAAAATTTTGCAGAATACATATGTTTCCCCAATATTTTTTAGAATGCTAAATATCGAGTATCAATTATTTTTATTCATTGCAGCAAATCTACGACGTGTCTCCAGCTTTGAAGCTCTACAATCTGCGACAAGGTTAGCTACTCACTATATCGTCTGTTTTTGCCTACAAATTTTGAAAATCTCTCAATGTTATACAAAAATGTAATACCCAAATATGCACATTGTTAGATGTTCTAAAAAAATTTATTTGATTTGGTTATCAACGATCAGTTTCATGTTTATAAACTCTTGCTAGTTAGATTTTGAGTACATGAGTTATCTTTTTAATTTATTTTTAAAACTATAATTCTCTAAGATAGTTTCTTAACAGACCTTGCTTATATAACCTTTTCTTTTCCATTATATTTCTTTCAACAGGAACCTGCCAACAGACTTTGTGAGATTAGATCAAGATATTTTATCCCCCCTTGCTGGAAAGAAACGCTTATATACATATGAGACCATGGAATTTTGGGAACAAATCAAGACTCCAGGGTAGAGTAACCACTTCGGCATTCATCGTTTCCTGACTTTTCGGGCCTTTTCTCTGTTGTAGTTATTTGTTACTTGTTATATTATTCCAAGCCTTCTGAATCTTTATTAACATTGCAGGATGTCTTTAAAGTGTTCGGGCCTTTATCTCGCTCAGTTTCAATTAACCTCTCCCCATCTTTTGGCTGGTGGAAATGGTACCAGGACTGCTACTATTATTGGCGATGTCTACATACATCCATCAGCAAAAGTACATCCCACTGCAAAGGTAATTTCTTCTTAATCAATAAGCTTATCCATATATATATATATATTTTTTTTTTTCTCTTTTTACTTTGCTAGTTCAATATTAGTTCTAAACTTCATTATTACACTTATCGTCTGTTTACTTGGTCTTCTCATCTCATCCTTATTCAGTTTTTCTTACAACTCTTGTTTCTAAAACCGTTGGCATCGCCTTGGTGCGCTTCTCCAAAAAACCAAATTAGAGTGCCTCCCTACAGAAGCAAGACATTTTAACTAAGGCGCACATGCCTTAGTGCATTTTGGCTGAATTTAAAGAATTTGTAGAGAAATTAAAATTATCTTTTTAAAACCTTGTTTTCTCTAAAGAATCTTTCAAAAGACCTCTAATTCTTTTTTAAAAAAACTTTTTCATTAACTCTTGTATGTATTAAAAAAGTCATCTCAATTTTTCTATCGTATGCCTTGGGAATTTTCTTTTGTTGCCTCATCCTTAAGCCGCTGAGGTCTATTTTAATTTAAACAACACTGCTTGTATCTAATAAATGAAATTTGATTTCTTATTGGTGTATTTTCACATCAATGCCTAGGAAGAAAATTATCATGATTATAACTAATTTATTGGGAATACTATTGCATTATAATTAACTTCGTACTTTCATGGAACTTCACACTCTATTTCTCAGTTCTTCTATTAAAGAAGTTATTGAACATGGCTGAATGTTGCCGCACTTTACACTATTAAATGTTACGTAAGGAAGTTAAAAGAATATATAACTTTTCTACATCTTTAGGTAACTATATTGTTGTGGCTACCATGAATAAGTCTTGTTTATAATGGTAGTTTCTCGGTCTTCTTTTGACCCACTCTGAACTGCCCTTCTGAACAGATTGGTCCCAATGTCTCTATTTCTGCTAATGTTCGCGTGGCTGCTGGTGTGAGGCTTATAAGTTGCATCATCTTGGATGATGTTGAAATTATGGTAATGAAACAATTTAGCTATCATGGATAACAATAATACGACATTTCTTTCACATTAAAATTAGAAAATCATGTCATTCTCTTTGACAGGAAAATGCTGTTGTCATAAATTCTATTGTTGGATGGAAGTCATCAATCGGGAAATGGTCACGTGTCCAGGCAAGTGCAGTAAACTTAATACTATCCTGTTCTTATGTTTTTAGTCTACTTTGGGTTCTATAAATGGTTAATCTGAATATTAAACAATGAAAGTAGGGCCTTTGAGTCGATGAACAGTTTCCTTTTTCTGTAGCTTGTCTTCTTTTATTTATTTTCCAGATCTTGTTGGCTTCATTTGGACCCTGCAAACTTCTTCATCCATTTGGTGAATCATTTTTTAGTTCTTTTAGCCTCATTAATAGGATATGTGATTTTGAAAAGAACAACTTCATTTTCCTAAAAACTAGATCATTTATAAGAACATGTTAAAAGAAAACAAGAAAAGATAGCCAAAAAATAATGTTCCACTCGTTAAGCCTTGATCAAAAGATTAGAGGTTTGAATCCTTTCATTCAAAAGAAAAAAGAATTTAGTGCTTTTAAACTCGAAGGCTGAGTTGTGTACGGAACTTACTTGGTTCAGGCAAATGGGGACTACAATGATAAGCTTGGAATTACAATCCTCGGTACGTATCCTCGACTTGTTGTACTTCTATTTTCTTACTAATTTTTCTCACTAAGAGCTCGGTTTATGGACCGAAAAAAATCGGTATCCAACTGAGGCTTGTGGATTTGAAATTGAAGTGGACAATATGGAAATTTTGGTGTGTTTTACAGGAGAAGCTGTGATTGTTGAGGACGAAGTTGTGGTTACAAACAGCATAGTCCTCCCAAATAAAACCCTCAACCTCAGCGTACTTGAGGAGATTATTTTATAACCCATTCCTTTTTACACCATTCACCATTCTCTTCTCTTTCTCTGTACTAAAATTACAAACAATTTTGCCACTCCATGGGTCTGATTTCAGGCCACGGGCTCATTAGTTTCTTAACCTCCAGAATTTCAATTTGCCATATATATTGAGTTCTATCCTATATTATTGCAAGAGGTTTTGATATCAATATCATTGACTGCCAATTTGCCTCTTTTTTTCCTATGATTTTAAGCTCTCTCTCTCTCTTTCTCTCTAATGTATTGTTATATGTAGTAGCGAGTAGTTTCTTTACAGATCATTCTCCATACACCTTAACTTCATTTATTTATTTTAATCATGTCAATAAGAATATCTACGTTGCTCTTGGTTTTTCCATTGTTCTTATGCTTAAAACAATTTTATTGTCCTATTTGTAGACAAAAAATACTACTGAGCCAATTATCCGTTGTAAATTAGTTAAAACATCTACTTTATTAAAGTTAAATTCAAATCGAGGAGTTAAAATCGCTCAAATCAAAGAGTAGTACTATTGCACATAGATATGATTATGTGTGCATATACACATAAATATACATATATAATTGGTCACTATATATAGTTTGTATATATATATATACATTCCCGGTCTTATGTACACTACATATTTAGTGTACATTTTTGTGACAGCTAAAATAAGAACTACAGAAACTTCTTGAGTTCCCACATATCTTTAGTTTGCCATTTTCTTTTATTTTAGATTGATTTTGAATATTGTAAATAAATATCTAAAAGAGACTGTATAGTAGTAATTAACATTTTTTAGGTCCGAAGAAATGATGAGAATATATGTACATATATACACACATATATATATATATATACATATATAGATGTATATATATACATCTATACATGTGTATATATATACATCTATACGTGTATACACATGTATAGATGTATATATACACACACGTATAGATGTATATAGACACACACGTATAGATGTATATATACACACACACGTATAGATGTATATATACACACACACGTATAGATGTATATATACACACACACGTATAGATGTATATGTATATATATATATATATATGTTTGGGCTTCAAAGATCTCATGTGTATAAGTAGGAAGTGTCTTATAAAGGAATCAAGTTAGAAAAAGTGATACAAATTGTCTTCTATTTTTTAATTCAATGAACTACTAAAATTGCAATATATAGTTATCCATTGAGTTATGTTCGGATCCATAGATTTATAGTTTGACTTACAGGTACCACAATACATAGATAACCCGGAAACAGTTTCCGAGGCTGTGTTGAGGTGAGGGGAACTTAAAAGGTTAAAAACTTAATCCAAACCCCATGAACCATGTGGACCTTTTCTACTTTCTAACCTCATGGCTTAAAATCAAAACCATGTGCGAAACTGACTCAAACAATTAGATAATGTAGTTCAATGATTCCAATCAACTTACCTTCCAGAGAATGAAACCAGACAGTTCAATAAGATCGAAGAAGAAACCGTCATCGTCACCCATCTCCAGAAATAGTCTGCAAGCCAAGCCCCTGATTCTGGTATGTTTTACATGGCATTAGATAGATATCATGGCTTGATCGATGATCTCGGACTCGGGAATCTGTTCCTAATGGATGGATGCTCATTTGGAGGCTATCAGCATTGTTAAAACTACAAAAACTGGCATTTCTGCGTTTTATTAACGTGGCGTCAGTTCCAACTTGTAAGCTCTTACTTCCATGGGAGGGATAAGCAGCTGCCCTTCATGAGCATCATCCCCCCCAGGCTGTTGTTCATCATTATATCCAAGCATTTCTGTGTCTTCGTGCAGCAGATTTAATGAAGTTGGCCGTGCGTTCGATACCACAAGCCCCTTGAACGTGTTGAATATATTGAAAGGCTCATCAGCAAACCTTGTACAATTTGATCTGGCTGTCTTGCAGTATGATGAATCCCAGTGTCTCCTATGAAACATTAAGAGAAATGGTGGATCTTTAGGCGATTGCTGCGAGTATTTCAGTGGACGAGGAACCTTAAAGCTGACAATATGTAAGTCACATGGCAAAGGAGCTGCTAAAGGAGAGAAGGATCTTGGGGGTGGATGCACGGATAAAGACTGTGGTTTCTTGGAAATAAATGCGTGTAAGGGATAGTTCAAGCGAGCACCAATGCAGTGGGAAAGAAGAGAAGGGCTCAAAGGAGAGTAATTGGGAATAGGATTTACTATGGATGAAACATTAGACTCAACAAGGATATGGAAAACGACATTCATTGCACGATTATCTGTTATTCCTTGTCCTAAGCCACGTCCATCGTCCCTGAGCACACGGCGGTCGAGCATAATCTCTAACCATCCATTTCCAAGGCTTGCCACACCTAGAGACTGCCTAGAATGGACAGAGAACCTTTGACCATTGGATCCTTGCATGAATGCTAAAGAAGGCATTGGATAATAGTTTCCCTGCAGCGGGATTTTATCGTACGACTCTCTTCGACTCATTTGAAAGCCATTCAAATCAGAATAAAATACCCTCTTGTTGTCAATATCTGTCTTGTATCTGACTATCAGCTCCCTGTCATCAAATTCCTTGCCAATTAGCTCTACATGATATTCCATCTCAACGAGGTTCTCCTGAATTGTATTGCCTCCACTGTATAAACGGGTGCTATGAGAGATGGGGGATTTCTTCCATCCTGTTTTTGGATGAGAGTAAACTTCCTGCATCAGAGGACCCTCGATGATCACGGTCAATCCACCTGCTTCAATGATAGATTTAGCAGCACCAGTTGGTTTGAATAGGTAAGCCCCACTACCCCAGCTCGAGTACACTGCAATTTCTTCATTTATTACACTTCGTGAACCAGCATTACTTATCTTATGCAACAAACCATGCTTGATATCGAATACGAGTGAATGGTGCTGGTTCTGGATTTCAACCACGTCGCCTTCAGCCATAGAGCATACATAAGGAGTAGGGCAAGGTAATGAGGTAGAAGTTGAGGAGAATTTCAGTTTGGCTGGTTTTGGCTTTTCACAATCAAATAATCCATTTGCTATATAATATGTTTGCAATCCCAAGGCAGGAACTGAAATTTTCCAGAGGATACGATGACTGCCAGTAAAAGGCTTAGCCTTATCATGTTGAAACTCAGGAGAAATCTGGCTTTGAAGACATGTCCAGTTTGAGTCCAATACAGTAATATCTGTCCTGTTGACAATAATCATTGCAACCTCTTCCCTTGTCTGCTCTAGAGGATTAAAAAACACCACAGATTGATAAGTTCCTTCTTGAAGATTGATTGCTTTATGTATAGGTTGGGAATCATATTTAGATCTCATCTGTTCCGGTTCAAACTGTGAAGGATTCTGATCAGATTTGTCATGGCGAATTCCAAGTAGTACTTCCATTCCTTTAGACATGAAAATGTGCAGGTCCTGTAAAGAAGTATGCATCCGAACGCCATAATCGCGTACTACGTGATCTTTCGCAGTACCGGTGACACCATCATGATGCTGAAAAAGAGCCAAATTTCTTCTTGCAGCTGTTAACTTGTAAGAAAATCCAATAGGCAACTTCTCACATTGAGATCTCTGGCAAGGACCAAGCAATAAAGCTAATATCATTTCTGCAGCACGAAGTGTTTGCTCGAGTACACGATCAACAGCCTTAAAGAAAGGCCTAGATACATAATAGCCACTCCAATAGTCCTGCTGTCTATCAGCATAAGTGAAGAAATCACCTGACAAAGAGGGAAAACCACCAACCAGACTGGAGCCAATTTCACCAGGAAGAGAATAATTTATCTTTTCAGACTCATCACGAAGAGTTCGAAAGTAGTCTTCCAAGGTACCGAACTTTACCTCAGCATTTAAACTTGGATTGGAATTAATATAATCAAATAACAACTGATAGTTCTTAAACTGAACCTCGGCTTCAGCAGTGCTAATGTATCGAAAATCATCACCAAGAGGAATGAGAAGGGTATTTGTCCTAAATAGCACTGATTTCTTTCTATACTGATCAAGTAGCATCATTGCCCTCTCTTGAACATTTTCCTTGTTGATCTCAACAGGATCTTGTCTCCAGGGACATAGTTCATAAAAAGAACCACGTGATCGGGCAAAATCAAATTGACAACAAATGGCCGGCTCTGGTCCACAAGTATGTGGAATATCGTAAGAATAAAAAGGCATCATGTGCACAAAAATGTCAGTAGTTTCTTCAGCATCCCAGCTCTGTCTCCAAGCGAATTCTAGATTTTTGTGCAGAGCAAGTTCCTTCTTCAGCTCATAATGGGTCCTCTGTATTAGCATGTTCTCAAAGCCCATGCGACGAAGAAGATATGCCATTGTGGGTGAATAACCAAATGGATCGATTGCCCAAGAGTTCTTCGGAACAACGCCAATGGTCTCATTCAACCACATATTCCCCTCTGCCATCTGGTTTCAATAAAGAAAATTTCAGTGAAAGTAATCGAAATAGGCAGGCATACTAGTTGGAATATAAGCGCCCCTTTTTTATGATAAAAGAAGACAAAAGCTTGTTGTTCCTCAATGTAAATGCTACATCAATTAGCAAGAATATGTGAACATTCAAAGATTCATAAGCTGTAAGATTTAAGAACTCACTCTCCCCCCACCCCACAAAGAAAAAGATAAATTCCCACTCATTGACATTCTGTCTTCTTTTTGAGAAAAGTAACATCTACTTCTTGAATGAAAAAGATAATACGTCTTGATTAGAGGATCCTATGTTCTATCCTTGTCAGTTTGATTTACAGCAAGTAAACCAGAGTTAGTTTGGTGCTTAAAAATAAAGCATGACAACTTGAATATGGTGTCTACTACTTCGCAGCCTCATGTAGATATTCGTAATTCATCATGATAAAAAAAACCAGAGAATTATTTCATACAGAATAGTATTCAAGATAAATTACACATATAATGGTGATTAAATTATAAACAATAAACAAGTTATGTCGATTATGCCGATTAATCACACAATTAACACAGAATTCTGATTAGAAGTCAAATAATATAGAACAATGTACAGTTGTATTATCTAAGAAGAAAATTTTACTTTACCTGCTCAATTATAGAAAAATAATGTGAATTGGCCTGCAAAGGAAAGGGACTGGCATGTCAATTTTCCAAACAATAAACCAGATGGTAATTTCTATATATATATAATAGATTGTAACTTAGCAGATTCCTAATCTAAGAAATTTAAGTAAGTATGGTAAAGCGATAAAAATGAATAATGGCGCACCAAAAAGCAATAAAATCTTTCCAATGAATGGCAAGAAACATGTAGCACAAACCTGTTTAGATTATAACTTCTCTGTTATAAAATGCAATCCAGAGGCGTTTAGTAATTATAAGCTTAATGAAAACTTAAACATCTAGAGCAACGTCTGAAGGCATTCAATTTAACTTCAATCCTACAACAAAAATTTCATTCTGATTGACTACTCCTTGCACATTTGTGTTTTTGGTGTTCAGATTTTGCAGATTGATCCGCTTGCTCCGAAATGACCTAGCCCAATAGGAAAATCCCAATTCATTAGACCTTTTGATACAATCAAATAGAAAGCCCCAAGGGCATCATATTCTAGGAGCCCAAACTATGTGATTGAATAAATCCTCCTCTACCTGTTACAGGTCGAGGACCCCTTCTCCTTCTCCTTCCCCTTCTTCAAACTCCGATTTTTATTGTTTATAGAGAAATCTTTGATCAATGATAGAACAAGATTCATTTTGTATCATATCTAAGGGATTCCTAGGTTTGGGACGAAGAAGAAATGTCACTTGATCATTATCAAATCGTTTGCAATCTTTTTTTGTCTGTGAGGATTCTAACAAAGCGTCTTCTACTTCTAATAGGCTATGAACTAGATCAAAATCATTCTCAACGAGTCCATAAGTGATCCCATATTTTTCATCGGGTCCGGATAGAGACTAAAGATCTTGTATGACTTATCCGGCAGACCAACTCAAAAGATAAAAGGAGTATGTTCAGAAAAATGAATTTAAGAAACTTTATTAGAAAGTCCCTGTTACCAAGCAGTAAACAGAATTTTCCAGATCAAGATAATAAAAAGAATTGAATCCATGCAGCACTAGAATACTCACACTTGCTGTTCAACGGACCAAAAAACCTGAAACAAGCAAGTGAGCATATTACCTCGTCGTTCATCACCCATCCACCTCCCACGATTTCTATCTGCCCAGTTTTAACTAAAGCAACAAACGATTCTCTTTTCTCGTCTGAAGCATCCCTCCACCATTTCTCCAGATAAGACATCTCTTCCCATATAAACTTCCGCCGAGAGTCCTATACATTAAAGAACAGGAAATGTTAAAACTCTCATTCAGCTGCCAATCAGTATATGCTTTTCTTCTAATTAATGAACTAAACAACAGGGTAACCTACAATCATTTGAGTTAGGGATGTCTTCACCAATGAACTTTTCTTAAGTTGACATGTGTTATATACAAAGGTGCTGTAATTTGATTTATGTCTATCTATTTTGTTAACATAAGAAACCATTTCTGCTAAAAAGGCATAAGAAACAATTAAATTGATAGCATATGAGAATGCATAATTAGATAGGAATATAACCAAAGAGTTACAAAATGGATATCAACAAAAAGGTCTAAATTGTTTTGGAATATTCTAAACCTCCATCATCTAAACCTCTAAATTGTAGCATTCATTTGGAATGTTCTTCATCCCTCACTTTCTCGATCATTTTCTTTTTAGTTTCTGCCAGGTTAAGTTTCAGGAAAGCAAGGTCATGAAAATCAATCCACCACTCAACCTAGAATTTGATCTTGGTCTGAAACGACGCTACAAGATATAATATATTAAACGACTATACCAATTCTAAGGATTCATAGGCTTAATTGCAGATCCAGCACAACAACAAAAATGTTTACATTGTTTCGTCTACAATAGTATCTTTGTATCGTATTCGGCTCAATCCTTTTAGTAAAAGATTGGGCCGAGTTTTGTTTAATTGAAAGTCAATTAAAAGAACGAAGAGTAATTACTGGATTACAAAGTATCTATGGCCAAATTCGAGAACCACCTCCCGCTTCCAACACCAAATTATATAGAATTAAGTTCTTCAACATAGCAACTTATTGCCACAAACTTCTTAGGCAGCAGGGTTATCTTCCTTCTTTCTTAATGGTGAAGATTTAAACCATCCGAGACAAGCTACCAGTTGATCTAATGAAATCCTCCCTCCATATTTGCATCTACCCATAAGAAAAATCTCCATGGCTATCATCTATGTTCTTTGTTATCACATAAGGGTGGTCCTAAACATGAAGAGGAAATAAGTAAAAGAGGTTTCCTGGGAATGCACGAACCAGGATTTTACATCATCCTCTAGATATCATGATATTTTCCCAAAATTACTAAGGCAGAGCATAGTTTTCTCCAAAAAAAATCAAACTAGAAACTTCAATTTTAAGGGTTATACTGTTGTCAATGGCGATTTTCTTTCAAAGAAAACGCCAAAATCCAAAAAATCAGTCGAAGAAAACGCCAAAAACCATCATTGCCACACTGATTCAATAGGGACCCTCAAGAAATAAGATTAAAGAAAAACAGAAGAATATGAAGAACTATGGACGAAGACGTTAAAACTTATAGATTCACCTGTGAAAGCGCTTCAACAATGGTGTCAAGAATATGACGAGTCTGCTTCTCGTAGTACTCGTCCACAGTTAGCAGCCAACCTGGATCGTTATGAGAATGAGGCACCACGAGAACCTTCAATTTCTCTGAATCCCACTCGTCTCCTTCGTAGGCCACTCTCCATCCTTGTTTCCAAGGACCGCCATCGACGTCAAGAAACTCAATCTGGTCGTACAATTCCTTGGTCGTAATATCCACATTAGAACTCAAAACCTCGCTGTTCCGATTCTCGTTCACGATCGGCTTACGCGGCCTATGCGATCTGTTAGCATGCGATTTGAAAGGAGACGCAATCGGCTTCGGAACGCCGTAACGGAGAAGAACAATGAAGAAAAAAAAGAATGAGATCAAAATGCCAATGGTGAAGAAATTAGCAAAAATGAAGTCACGAACAGCCAGCCTCCGGCGAAACTTCCGGTTGTGCTTAGATTTAGCATTGGGTGAAACAGCGGAAAACGGAAGAATCGAACTGCCCCAACCTCCACGACGGCCACCGCCACCGGTGAACGATGAGAAAGGCATTCTAGCTAATTCCTTACAGTCACAAGAATCAGAAACTCAAGCTCCGGCTTCGATTTCATTCAACTGAATAAGCTGAAGAAATGGATCCGCATTGATTGAAATTCCGTAACGACCAACATTTCATCATGAAAAATCAACCGAGCCAACATCTCAACAGTCAAGATTCAATACAGGAGAATTTCGAAATCGTTCGATCTCCGATTTTCGGGTCCAAACAGTGAGCAAGTGGCTCTCCCAACAATTCTGAGACCGTAGAAAAATACAAATTTCTTTCAGAAATCTCAGCAAAAACTGTTCTTGTTAAATGTTTAACTAATTTTCGGAGTAATCTTCCAAGTGATTAAATAAACAATTATCCACTAAACAACAAGATTAATTTAATCATTGTGACAAAATATCACTCATTTTTATTTTAAAACAAATCATTAATGGAAGCTTCATATTTTAAAACTGTTAATCTTCATTATGTTTGTGATTAATTATTATTATTATTATTATTATTTTGTTAAACCTTTAATATTTTTCTTCAGATTGGTGGGAATCACTCTATTTATTTTTTTAAATATCAATTTAACTAAATAATTTTTTTTTTAATTTCTTAATTTTTTATGATAAATATTGATTAATTTTCAATTATATAGGTAATTCTTTAACAAATCTTCGTTGGTTAATTTCCTAAAAAAATCAATTTAAACATAAAATTTTAAAATCTTCTAAATTTAACAAAATAATATTACTTTCCAAATAATATAATTATCCATATATATATATATATATTATAATTCAAATTTATCCTAATCGTTAAAAATAAAACTATATTATTATTATTATTATTATTATTATATTTAAAACTTAAAATAATAAAGAATATAATGGACGGTGAATACATTCTCCAAAGTTTTCATGTTTTTATATTTAAATATCATAAAATATTGAATGTCGTGTATTTTTTATTTTAATATTTCTAATATATATTATTATTCTAATAATATATGAATTTATAATAATATTTCTTTTTTAAAATATCAATTTTAATGGTTTAAATTAAATATATTTTTTTCATTTTTGTTTAAAAAAATCAACTAAATTTATGTTTTAATTTTACTTATAGATTTACATATTATAAGTTACGATGTGAGAACCTATATCGGTTGGAGAAGGAAACATTTCTTGTATTGGTATGGAAACCTCTTCTTAATGAACTCATTTTAAAATCATGAAACCGACGAGGATATGTAACGGTCCAAAGCGGACAATATCTGCTAACGATTGACTTGAACTATTACATGCGATGATACAAAAAATAATTAATTAAACTCTTTAATTTTTATGCATGGAAGACAAATTATGTCCATAGATATAATCTCATTCTTCACCGAGTTATTTGTAATTATAATTAGGTCAAAAAGTCTATTTTACCCCATATAATTATTTCTCATACGGTAAGTATCACTCATTGTCTAATGTGCCGTTTGAATTTTTTTTGTGAGATTATGTACTATATATTAGCGGCTACAGCCCGAAGGTATGAAAATATTATCTTCTTATGGTTAACTTTCTAGTTGTTTATTCGACGACTGATAACCTGTTTTTGTATGTCTTGTATTTAGGTGAATCTTTTTGTGGATCACTTTCAAGTCATGGATCTGGGAGTGCATGTGAGGTCGGAATCTAGGTAAAAATCATTCATATATTCTTGGTTTCTACTACTTTTGGATTTAAAATCGATCGGTAACTTGAGAGATTTATATATGATTTCAATGAAATACAATTAGGTTTGAGTATAAGCTATCATGGTTTTGCTTTGGGCTTCCCAAAAGGTCTCGTACTAATGGAAATAGTATTTCTCGATTATAAACTCATGATCATTCCCTAAATTAGTCGATGTGGAACTTTCATGCAATACTATTACAAGCTCTCCTACCAACACGAAAGGAGATGGGTTGCTTGTTATAGAATATGTCGATCATTTGACATTGCCGAGAATGGGCAAGGAAAAGTTGGTTGGGAAAATAATGATTGCCACTTAAAAAAAATATGCAAAAAGCTTCCGGGGTAAATGCTCATACTAATTTTAAAAAGAACTCATAATTTGAGTTAGTTTTAACACGGTAGTGTTTTTTTGTTTGTTTATTTAAAATGAGCCGAATTTGAAGTTCAATTTCATCACATATTCAATAGTGAAGGACATAACTTTATTGGATAGCAAGAATTTTCATATCAATGTTTTGGGCTGCAAGAATCTTACCTTCGATCACCTGACAATTACTGCACCAGACCATAGTCCCAACACCGATGGAATTCACTTGGGTAATTCAGAAGAAATTAGCATTATCAATACCGTAATCGTAACGGGAAATGATTGTATATCTGTAGGATATAGTAACAAAGAAATAACTATCAGTGATGTTACTTGCGGACCGGGACATGACATTAACATAGGCAAGTGGTAGGAGTTACAGTGAAAAAATGCAAGTTAATCAGTACTACAAATGGTGTCAGGATCAAAACATGGCCAGATTCTGCTATGTCATTCCTAGCCTCTGCCTTGAAGATATTGAAATAGTTAATGTTACTAACCCTATCATCATAGATCAAGAATATTGTCCATGGGATCAATGCAATCGAAAGGTATGTATTAATATTTCTTATCTTTTTAACAAATATTAATTAATGTTTATTTTGAACATTCAGGTTCCATCAACAATTAAGATTAGCAAAGTTAGTTTCAAGAATATCATGGACACATCGGCTATTCTGGTTGCAGTGAAGCTTGTTTGCAGTAAAAGTAATCCATGTGTGAATGTGGAAGTTGCTGATATTGACCTCACTTACAGTGAAACTGAAGGGTCAGTTGTGTCTGATTGTGCAAATGTGAAACCGACCATTTTTGAAAAGCAAAACCCTCCCATCTCTACTGAACCGGCGCCAATTGAGACCACTCCATCAACTGATTAAATAATCTTTTAACGCCGACAAATGTTTCAAACCATGATGTCAAACATGTTTGCAATAATTATATTTTTTACATTTAGGTGAAATAATTCTTCTGAGGGTAACAATTGTATTTTTCTACTATAATAAAGTCATGTATTTGACATTATTGTTAAATTATGGATTTTATTTAAAATCATTCCAGATTACTTAAAACTAAATAAAATTTAAAATCTTTCCTATAGACGAACTCGACAATTGAAACAGAATTGAGCAACATCTAGTAATTGTACTCAGTTCTTCTGACGAGCGTCGACGGAGTGACGTAAGTATTCTTCAAGCAAGCAATTGAACAGTTATGTCTGTCCATCGATTTAAACAAAAGTTAGGAAAGGATTGATTAGGTGTCGGAGGAGAAGATCATAAGTTTAGTACTGAGAAATTACCAATGAAAAGTAATTAATTTTAAAATTTATATCTAATAAATAATTTAAAAACATCACATTTATGAATTATTATATAAAATTTAAAATTTAAAATTTTAAAAAAATATATTAGGGAGGAAGATTCCATTTATAATTTAATTCAAAATAAACTATTATTGAAATTAATTTAAAGTCGAGGGAGAACAAAGGGAGAATAGAGATGAGAGGTCCCATTATACTTTTTCCGGTAAAAATGTTATTTTTTCTTTTATGATTCCACGCTTTAGGTTAGGAGTTCATAATTTGAATTAACTTTTACTTTCATGGTAAAAGTTTCAAATTGTTTCAAAAAACACCTCTGAACTTTCAAAAATTTCAAAAATACCCTTTAACTTTCAATAACACCGTTAAGTTAACCGAAGAAAGTTAAAAATACTAGTTAATTTATATTTAATTTCAAAATTTTAAAAGATTTCAAAAATACTCAAACTTTTTTAGAATGAGTATCACTTCTAAAAAAAATGCACAGACTTTTAATATTATTAAAAAGTTTAGAGATAATCTATGAAATGTCCAAAACTGTTTTATGTACATATTGACAAAAAGATTCTTTAAAATTTTTTTACGAAGGTAAAAAGTGTTAACCACTCTTAAAATTTCATAGATATTTTTTTTAGTATATTAAACGGTTTTAAGAGGCTTTTATAAACGATTTTAGTAATAAAAAAAAATTAAGTTAGGTTGAAACATTATTAAAAGTTTAAAAAATATATTTTTATTTTTATTTTTTTTAAGTTTAAGAATATTATTGAAAGTTTAAAAGAGTATTTTTGAAATAAATTACAAAATTTATAAATATTTTTATTAATTTATTCTTTGTTAAAATATATTTTACAACCATCAAACACTTTATTTTAAAAAACAGTTTTAAATAAAACTTTTTAAAAATATTAAAAAAAACATTTGATTAATATCTTTAAACTTTTATAAAAATTTTAAATATTACCACCATTAGTATATTAATTAAAGCGATTAATATTGTGTTTTAAATATATCCATAAATTTTTAAAAAAATGGTAAAAATTATTATTACTAGCATATAGACGAAAATTGTTTATCTATAATTTATAGATCGATCTCTATTTCTTATTTCTATCTCCTTCTTTTTTTTTTCTTTTATTCTCAAAAGTTAAATTTTTAATAGTAAATTTAAGTTTTTTTTCAATAATACCTTATCAAACGTTTTTAGATTTAAGTTTATTTCGTGAAATAAATAAAATTTGCAATTTCAAAAGGCTAAATTGTATACGTTTTCTAAATTTTCAATAATACTCTTCAACTTAAAAAAAAAAGTTAAAAAAATACTCTCGAATTTTTTCACTAATATTACTTAAATTAAATAATAATAATAATAATAAATGTTTTTAAATTGTTAAAAAGTTTTATTATTCTTAGTATTAAAGTTTAAAATAATCTATTTATTCAATTTTATCTTTGTGTATACTTGGATTCAACAATTTTTCATTTTTAAATAATTTGTTTTTTTTTTGTTTGTTTGGTTTTGTTCCTTAAAAATTTAAAAATAATTTTTAAATAAAATACAAATAATTTCTATTATTATTTTTTTTAATTTTAAATATGCTTAAAAAATATTTTTGAAAATTTAAGATTTTTATTAAAAATGATATTTTTATTAATTTAACATATTCAAGGTAAAAAAAGGGTTGAAAAAGGAAAAGAAAAACCGTCAAATTGCTGACCGGTTGTTTTGTTTGCGTCAGTATCTGACATATTGCGAGGCCAGCCGCTTGCGACCAGAACACTCCACGAGGAAGCGGACCTCAACAAGCAGATCGGCGGCCGAACTCTGGTTCTGCCCCGGCGATTTGTTTACTCGGAGCTCTACTATCCGAATATCTCTACGGTAATTCA